ACAAAGTCAACATATGTCTCAAGTAGAATGAATAGATTGGGCTGTCGGGAAGTTAGAATAAAGTATATGGGCTTAACATAATAACTGACACTACAGTCCTCTCTTACTTGAATACTGTTCCATGTGTATTTATTAGAGTACGAATCGGACAGTAATGGATATTACCAGTTAACATACAGAATTCTATTACCGTTGATTATCAAACACTATCAAGACGCATCTCAGTTAGAGGTAAGCTATTAGATTTTTTCTATTGTAATTAGCTACTTTTTAAAGTTTGATAATAGACCCAGTCCCGAAACGGTGGATTTGTCATGGTGTGATTACCTAATCTGTAAGATCTTACATGATTCGACTAGTAGTGTTAAAAAAAAGAGCCTTCACAAGGTTTATGTACTTCTGAGGTACGCCTTTCAATGACAGACACTGCTATAGAATCTAGAGGTCTACGGACACAAATGCTGCTTTTAAGTCAATGAAGACCACCATTGTCGGGTGCCGATAAGCATGCCTGTGTTCTAGAACCTGGCAAATGGTGAATATGTGGTCAATGCAGCCACATCAGCGTCTGAAGCCAGCCTGATCTTCTCGTGTTTGTAGTTCACGAGTCTGAGTTAGGCGCTCAATAGTTATTGAGGCTAATACTTTAGATGCTATGTTAGTCAAACTAACCCCTCTATAACATTGTTTGTGAAAATTATATTTGCGATAATCTAAGGGACTGGAATTTAATTAATTCCAACGTTCGGTCTAACAAACTCGTCTGAACGTTTCCACGGTAATACTCAAAACTATTTTTGTCAAACTGTTAGTTCTAATATTGACGAATACTCGTACAGATAATCCCTCTATGGTTGTCACATAATGGTTCTGATCATCTCTTATATATCGAGACAAAAGGTGACTAGGACAAGTCAGATGGGATTACATCGAACCCCCAGATCTTAGCTAAATATTAGTCAACTTAACCGCTAAAATTAGACCACTATATTTAAAGACCTCTGAAGCCAATCTATCTGCTCTTCATCGTTTCAGATTACCTATAGCCTTTTGAACTTCAGATAGAGTTGGAGAACTTACTTCAATGTTCCATTCACACTGTCTGGGAATGGTTGGTAGTTGTAGAGTAGCTGAAGGCCAGCTGAACTGCTCCTTCGTGTTCGACTCAACGTTCTAAACGTCTGGACTGGGAGCAGATGGGATTGTCGTTATTTTCCGAGATAGTCTCACTTACACTTGACTATTTAGTTTCAGTTTCTTTTATGAGTCTGAAGAGCTGTCTTGTGTACCCTATAGCTGCCGCCTTTTCCATCTCTTTTGCATTCAATGCCCACTGAAGTCGCATCACTGTTTGCACATACTCGTCGTATTGTTCCAGTGATACTTAGTACTTCTGAATAACAGATTTAGGATGGGGATAGAACAATACATTAATTGTGAATAGTAATAAATATTCATCCGAATATAACGTCACAGTGAAGAAACTTATATATACGACGCAACGTTCCATCGAAACTTTAACACTGATGCAGCAAAACAAGTTTTCCTAACAAACCGTGTACTTATAAAGCAAACACTTAGTTGTTCTTAATTTTCACAAACAGTTACTCGTTAACAATATCGGTATACCTCCCCATGAAACTACGAAGACAGAAATAAAAATTGTGTGGACGTTCATTGATGCATTACTACTACTCGTAAAGGAAGAATGAATCAGTTTTCAAGTTGTATATCTAGTGAATTCAAAAATACAACACTTCTTGTTACGTTTCCACACTTTATTATATTCCGTACCGTATTTCTTATCGTAAAGTAAATTTCAGAAAGGTAAGCGTTTGAAAAAGTGAAATCTTGTCTAGTTATTGATGATTCTTAAGTTAAAACTGTCGACTCTTCTCTCAACTAGCATCGCGAAGTGTTCGCCATATTTTTCAATAATGTTTTGTGTGTATTGTTTGGCTTCGACGAATCCATTTAAACTGTTTGCTTCCTATTAATTCATTTGTTGATTGTGATTGCAACATCACTGGCTTCAGATTTTCTTTTTCTTTTGATGACAATCTCCTGGTCCATGGATCACAAACCATCCATGAACTACTATAAGCATGATTGTGAACCATCTTGTATGATTTGATGATATATCATTTCTCTTCCAATTTTACGCTGATATTATTGCTTTCGGCAGTTATGTTTTATGTTTTTTAGTGCAGCAAAAGGCGACTCAAACATGCAAAAGCCTATTACTCATGTAACCCACGGTAAGTGGAATACGGAATGACCGTCTCCCGTCAGACTGTTCAAGGTCGTTAAAACGAAACGGCGGGCAGCTTCGAAAGAGTCTGACATTTTTCTGACGTCCTCGTTTCTACAGAACCATCATATAATAGGTAGAATCTAACCACTTTAGTATTTCAAATAGATAGATGTAAGATACATCATGAGTCAGTTCAGTGGGGTTCTTTCACAAACTGTATTGTTGGTGAATGGATATGACTAAGTTCCTCAGGTTACTTAAATTTTGGCAGTTAGTCATTTGTGATGAAGATGAGTTCATTTTAGCCAGCAATATTTTACTAGCATCATAACTTCTAAGCAGACGAGTAAGTCCAAAATGAGGATTGTTTTCATGAGAATACACAATGTCAACTACTTAATAAATTCGATCAACCACAAAACGACTGGAGAGATGTGATGACATCAGATATGCATCATATGTTATGTCTTGATTTTATTCAAATTAGGCCTACGTTAATTTCTTGTTGCGACTGATTGGAAGTAACGTAACCTTCATTATATGGCAACTAACATACATACGGTTTAAATAAAACACCTGGCGATCGATTTTCAAAGAAGGGCACGAGCGCATAGAAAATTCGATCTAAAATATTGTTGAGCGTAAAGTAAAACAACTCTGTATGCGTTATATCCATGCTTGTGCATACATCACATAAAAAGCTAGAAAGTTGAACGTGAATACATATCACAAAATAGCAAAGTCGTGCAAAAATATGAATGGAAAACGATGTTTTTGTTACAGGGAGAAACGAATACTTGTGAAAATACAGACTACTTGAGGTCTTCGTGGCACTGATATATGCAAAATTTTTGGCATATCCATAATGCAAGTATGTGATTGACCACAATCATGAAAACCACTTATATGTCTTTGTTTGCAATCAACACTGCGCTCAATTCCTGTCTGGGAGAAAAGCAAACCATCAAGAAAATGACACTCAAACAAATCAGTACATATCTTCCGGCACTGAACGATTTTCGTCCTGTTTGGTATACTAATCTAACGGGCCATGTGCATCATTTTATTTTACTTCTTGACACGACGACTTCAAATGGTGAATCACAAGATTTTACCACTGTTTGAAGCGTTGCTTTGGCCTTAAATAGTATATGGTATCCTCGGGCTACAAATCTATTACTTGGAGCTCGAACTGAAGGTTTACGTAATTAAAGATTTTCGCAGGTATTCATGATACTTGTAGTCGTTCTAAGACTAACTATATCTTAAAAGCTATTAAGGGAACAATTTTCAAGTAAGCTCACACTTCCCACACGGCCTCAAATTAAGTTCGTGAGAGGATTTCGTTGGTCAGAATTCCATAGTGACGCTCTAAAGAGATCTTGTTGTTTTAAAGCAGAGATGAGAGCAGGTAGGAACGAATGAAAACAGTATTAGGATATTATTAAGTTCACAATGAAAATAAAATTGGAGGGTGCAAGTTTTATGGGGAAAAAATATATACGTTCATCGCCCGAGGCAGACGAACTCATGGATTGTGAAATGACTACTGGAAAAGGAGCTGTATTTCCTAAAACAAAAATTTATTCAAAACATTTGGATGAGCAAGAGGAATAAATTACTGAACCATTAGTTCGAAAGTTTCATTCAAACCTACTAGATCAGCACAGACACTAAATGCTTCGCAGGCTATTTGCATCGCGGATCAATCAAACTTTGCAGTTTAAACACAGAATTAAGTGGTTGAGACAAAGCTATCTAGGGTCCACTGACATTTCTGCTGTCAAGTCAACTAACAAACTGACGTAGTGGGGAAAAAAATTTCACTATAGTCCCTTCCGTCATCCAGAATCGTTTCTCATTGATAGACGCCACAGTGACCAAACTAAACTCTATTATCTATGTATATAAATAATGTTGTTGAACTGTAAATACAGTTTGGGATTTCACTGTAGATAAAGTAGACTATATTTTACAAGGTTGGCAGTTTATCTATTGTTCCCTGACTATATTTTTGAAAATTTCCCTCACCAATGCAGATGATGTATTAGATAGTTATAGTCTTGTACAATTAGGCAGCAACACTATGACCGTCCGATTTATATTGAAACCACGCTACGACGTCAGTCCTTTAAATGAACTCCCGTTGATGTACCTGCGTGCTATGCTGAACAGAAATGTCTTTACTAAAGAAAGGTAATGTTGGAAAAAAATAGGGAAGTACACCATAGAACCTGTAACTAATTCTCCAATCGATGACGCTCACTATATTATACAAAGTCAGTTTTTCATCTCGAGAACAAAAATGTACAGAGGTGTTTGCAAATCTAACATCTAAATAGATCTATCAAGATACCACTTTTGGTGATGGTTTTATCATCATGCTTCAGCTTGAGATTATTACTGCCTTTAGAATAACGAAAGATAAATAGCAATCATTAAGTGCAAACTTGAAAAAGGTCACATAGACACTCAATTTTTTAAAATTCAAAATCTAACGGCTAATGTGCAACTAATTAACGATGGTTTGTCATAAAATTATTGATTCGACTTAAAATAACAGTCAAATTCACAAAAACATGTTCAGAAAAGTGTCTGAATTATCGTGTTTAGGTATTTGTAAAGGCCTTCAATCATAAATGTTTGCTAATACGGTAGGCAGAAAGATATTGACTAATGAATCGAATGAGGTCATCGATAATGCCTCACACTAATATTGTATTATTTTGAATTGCAGTCGTCATCCATGTACAAAAGAAGTTTACGAGGCTCGTTGAGTCAGTCATCCTATACAGAACCAGTAATAAACCTAAGAAGTCCAGACAAACTCCATGATCGAACTCACTCGAAGGTAAACCAGTTGATCTTCCTGCAATGATAAATAATATTCTGGTTAAATAACTAAGTGCAGTGTTTGAAGTAATTTTAAGGTCACTCCGGTTTAATGAAGATCAAATACTATTTGAAAACCTTTATTTCACGGGTATTTTATTCGTTCTAGTCTTTTATATTCGTCTTCTTTATCCTCTGATATATCTCTATATAATGAGAAGAAAAAGAGAGAATATGCTCGGTTCAAAATCATTCCTTAATATTCCTTACATCAAAATCAGATCACATCTCAATCTGCGAAAGGAAAGAGTAAAGAGGTCCGGCTTTTCAAGCGTTTCTTGGTATGGTAAACTTCGGAGTTCTGGAATTGCATCGGCAGTTGCCCTCTATACATGTTCCAGGATATTCGAGTCACTTCATTCATCTTAAGAAAAAAATATTTATAAGTCTTTGATGCTTGGGCCTCCTGAATACGTTCACTGAAAATGACTAACAAAATAAAATTTGACCTGTCAATTTTAGCGTACAGCAAATCAAGAACATGAATGATCGTGTTTTGGTTTTTCTGGACATATTTACTTCCCATTCGAATACATGGGCTTCACAAGCTGTGCACTGATCCTATTCTGCATAGCTGATACTTCAAAGTTTTTTGCTTGTGTTATAATGATCAGTTACTTCGAGTCGTATGACCTTTTCTGCTTTATTACGTCTTTAAGCACGAATATAATTCTTTTATAAATAGCCTGATTGTTCCGAAACTGAATCAACGATATTTTTGATTTCGAAACCCATGAATTTTGTGATGCGACATTTTGTATTCAATAATGACAGGAAAACGGAATTTCGCATTATGTTTCGTAGGCTTTGAATTAGTTGTAAGCTCCATGAAGAGACTAAAGCTGCAGCTTATTTTTCGGCGGAGTTAACCGCTACTACAGCCAAATTTCAGTTGGCGAATATGTTACTCAAAACAAATGTAAACCACAATCGTTTAAAGGTTAATTCTTGTCTGACGGATATCCAACTCAGCTTTTAGTTAAGTTAAATTATACATATGCATACAAAAGCTTGGTCTACCAAGTAACGTTTACTTTTTTAAGCTTACGATGGCAGTAACATGGTTATGGAAAAAACACGATAAGGTAAGTAAGTTGCACATCAGTAATCAAGATCTGTTACGAGGAACTTAAATCCTACTTCATTAACTTGTATGTCACTGCCTTACGTTTTATCGAAAATTGAATGCGTTTTAATTTTCACTCGCTTATTTTCGTCCTTAGTTCACTTTCATGTTCTTGCCTTTACTTGCGAATAAAGATTTGAACCGTTTTAAAGCACACAATTTTAAACTAACGCACTATTAGACAAGCCTCAAAGCTTCGTTGTTTGCCTGCATCTGCACAAAAAGAAAACGAATTGTCTTTATAAAACAAGTTGCTGTTAAAATCACCATTTCTATTTTAGACACAAAGATTAGGGGTTTGACTTGTTATCGCCAGTGAAAAATAAATCTTCCTTCATGGTGCGTGAAAAGATGTAACAGTGAAAGTTTTCATCATTTCTTTATTCATAAGACTCAATTCTCAAGTTTTTGCTACCCATATTCAGAAAATTCGTGTATAAACTCACAGTTATGTCACTAACTTTGCTTTTCATTAAAACGTGATTTATACAGAATATTTAGATATATATTTTTTCTTATTTCTGAGACATATCTGTGAACTGTATTTTTTTGGCAATCATATAGAAGCATAGTCGTTATCAAAAAAGTAGAAGCGCTTCAAACCATGATTCTTCACTTAGTGTTGTTAGTGACAAAAGAGCTCGTGATTCAAAATTGGAGCTAGTCGAAGATTTTGAAGATGATGAGACGAATAAGTTTCATTTAAAAAGTACTCACACTTGTGAAAATCCAACAGTTAGTAAAACGTCTGCTCAAAATAACCGCTTGTTATCTCATGATCGAGAAACCTTTGGATACGAGCCGTTCAATATGTTCAACTCTACTCCTAATTTGGGCCACCTCTCCTCACACGTACCTCGACATCAGACAAATCAAACTTTAATTACCGAACCTGAAGAATATGACCAATATATATCCGACGATTCACAGATACAGCAGTTGTTTCCTGACACAGTCCAATCCATGCCATGTTCGCCTAGAGTCAATGAACTCCTTGAGGATCAATGTGTCATCGACCCCAGCTTTACTAATTCTGAACATTTTGGACACATTTACCAACCAAATACAAATCTCAACATATATGAGTTCTACGAATGTCAGCTAAATAAACAGCTAACAAAGTTGAGTATGCTTCACGCTCAACAATTAAATATTCAGGTTTTGTTAGAACGTGAATGGCTGAAATTGCACAAGGTTAGTTAATAGACATTGTTTATTCTTAGGTAAAATTATAGAGTTTTCTTGGTACTAGTAAAAGTTTTGCAAAAACGTCACATAAAAACATAGATGACGAATAATAGTGTTGGTTATCGGTGTCTTATATTTATTAACTACAACACCGGTAGAATCTGTTAGACTTCAGTCTCTTACATACCCCCACAAAAATAGGTTCATCCGGGTCATTCATAAATATTTTTAAGATTTTCAGTTAAACAATTACTATCAACTTTTAAACAGTTTACCACAAATAATAATAGACAATAGCTGACGACTGAAACATTGTTTTTGGTTGAAATACTATCAAGGTTAACCGTTATTTAGTGATGTTAGATAACTTTGCAATATACGTTTTTTGTTTGTAAGTTTAAGCAAAGACGTTTTAGATGTTTGATTGTATAAAACTTTTATATATATGTACGCCCATTGCTTTGCATCTTTTGATTATCGCAATTAAAGATCCAGGAGATGTGATGCTTATTCTACGTTAACATCCCTATTTGATTTACAGGTCGTGCCTAAAATTATATATATGGGTTATCTGAGGGACTTATAAGTTTTGTAAACGTTTCCAAATTTGGTGATGTTATACACCGAAGTACTAAAAACCAACAGCTAACTTTAGTCAGTTACCTTCTACTTGCACGAATGTTGATGTTATTCATCCACTGAAAATAAAATCTTGCTGTTTTTAGATGTAAAGCGACTAGTTTCAAAAAGTCAATTCTTAGTGACAAATTTTCCATATTAGTCCACGCGATTGTAGAACTAGTTATCTGGATTTCAACCACATAAACGTTTTTGACCTTAATAGACTCCATGTTTCAGTTTTACCATTCGAAACTGAAGATAGTTAAAAATGGGAAACTAATCGAAAGCATAAATGTTTATTTTAGGTTGCACCATTGATAACTGTTGTTGAATAAGTTATCCGTCAAATAGCTTCACAACATTTTGTTTCGTTGACCTGACTCATGCTTCAATTTTATTATATGGGAAGAGAATAAACTTTAAAGAAGTTGGATTATTCACAAATATGCATATATCTGGATGAATATATGTTAAAATCAGTATTATAATAAAATTAATGTTTTTGGTAAAATCATCTAGTATCATATTACTCTTTTTGTTCTCTTACTTAATAAATGAAATTTTATTGTCGTAAAATAAAACTGCAAACAAATTCTTAGTATGGACGACGAGACATCGCTATTTGTGCTTATTCGTTTGGTGTAGTTAACAAATCTTGTCAATCTAGATATTTCAACTCGATCCCATGAAGTGTAGTGTCGAATTCAGTCGCACGTGTTTCCTTCCAAATGTTATTTAGTGCTCTTTAAAATCATAATATTCAACATGGAAAATCGTTTCATTTGTAGATAATCTTCAAGTGACAAGTCAGGTTATCGGCAAACATATACTTTTGCTTAACTAAGTATTCTTTTTTTATTGTGACTTCATAGATAATATGAAAGTGTTTACACTGTAGCAAGATCAACTACTGGTCAGTGAATATAGATTTTCATTCCCGATTAAAATGAAATAGTTGACTGGTTCTTTCTGCTTTAAAATGGTTCCTTAGTTGATGTCACTATGGTTGTATTCAAGTATGATAAGACTTTATCTCACTGATTGTTTTTTGATAACACAACCAAGTAATGTTCAGTCTGGTATAAAAATAATTGCTAATATCATAAAAATATGTTTCTTTTTGTAGGGTATATAATTGTTTGTGGTATAAACCTAATGAGTAGAATTTTTTAAGTCAATGTTAGTATAACTGTCAGAAGGCTTTGTGGTTCTCTTTCATGAAACCTGATTCTTTAGAGAAATCGTCATTCTGTCAGTTGATATAAATTTCGCTCTTTAAAGTTAAGGTATATCATGTACATTAACTTTTTCAGTATTTGACAACCCGTTATTGTTTAAACAGCACAAGTAGCCTTCGAAATTAGTTGCGTAGCTTTACGTCAGCTATCAAAATTGAATTTTTTTCTTGAAGTAGTTAAGGAAGCAAAATACTACAAGTTAATCAGTCTGAAACACTTTTTGTGATTAAATATATCACCTGTAGACGATTGGTAGAATGTCGTGGACCCACGTTTCATTGTGATTATTATTAGTTTGGAGTGTAGTTGAAGAATTAGGACAGGATCTAACAAATGTCATGACCAAATCCATTATTACCGACCACTTTTGACACGAAGTTTCTTTTATATCATTACTGTTTTCATTACAGTCGGTCTCTAAGTAAAGATTAATATGGTGTTTATCAGTATAGGGGTTGTGGAGATTATTAATTTCTTTGATTGAGATCATGAACCAATTGATGTTAGACCACCGTTGGAAACCTATAAACACTAGACGGCCAATACTGTAGATGAGGATCAGTCATGCATCATAAATGAATCAACCACCGGTCAGCAACTATAACACGATACATTGATTTGTTTATCTGGTCAATAATCACACATTAAAATAGACAGTACTTGACATAACGTACTCAACAACTTGATCCATGTATGGAGTTTGAGATATCGGCTGATTAAATTGCTCCAATAAACAAATATAACTAAATCACCGAGTTAAATATTGATCCAACTATAAAGTACAGTGACATGATGTCATTCGTAAGACGTAATATATATCAGTCAGTCTTGGGTGCTGTTAGAAATATGAGGGCGGTTTACACACCGTGGAAAAGTTCTTCTAGAGGTACCTCAAAGGAAAATTGGTTTAGAGGTGGCCTTAGTGACCTGATAGTGTAACCGCAGTGCCCAAGGGACAACTACTTGAGGTCAGTCACACACGACATTTTTGTGGGTAGTTTTCGTGTTAGCTCCGTACTTGTTGAGACCTTACCACAGGAGATGGATATCCGTGGGATAAGGCGAGGTGTGTGTTTTTAGGATCGACCTTTTCTAACCCCACCGCTCCTTGTGGGAAGGCAGCATCGTTGTTATGCTGGTTGTCTGAAGGAAACACCTTACTGCCGTCACACCTTTGTACAGTCAGCAGTACGACTTCACCCTCAGACCTTGGGTTTGCTTCTTTTAATCTAACCGCTCTTCAACCAGCCTTGAGGAACGATTGTTTCAGCCCGTATGGCTCGATTGGTTCATCACGATAGGCAAGCCCCGACCACGACGTCAAAGCAGCAACAACGATCGGGAGGTAATATATATATATATATATAGATATAAGGGAAAATAATTCTTGTTTGAATCTTGAAAAAATGAATAAAGTAACTTGATGATAACCCCGCCTGGAGTCCCCCAGGGGCTACTGCCGATCCCAAGCCCAGATAAAGGAGGAGGGTCGAGCATGGGGTTAGCGACCCCATCCCGTAGAAAAATAACTCGCTAAAAAGACGCTAACCAGAAAAAATCATTCAAACCATTTAAACTCTGCCCTGGGAGCCAGGAGGTCTTCATTTAGAAGAGTTATGACGCCTCATGATGAAAGCCGAGTTCCTTCGGAAGTCACGAGGCCGAAGCCACTTCTGACAACCAGAGCAACCATTTGTTTATGTACATGGAATGCTCATATAATGTGGGAGATCAGGAGAGTCTTCCAAATTGCTGCAGAAATGAATAGATATAACCTGGAGGCGCTTGAGACCAGTGAAACACATTGGACGCAAGTTGGACAACGACGACTAGCTTCAGAGGAGTTTCTGTTATACTCCGGCTATGAAGAAAATGCCCCACTTACACAAGGATTTGTATTGATGCCGTCCAAACAAGCACAAAATCCACTTGTAGGATGGGAATCTCATGGACCAAGGATCATCAAAGCCTCCTTCAAAACAAAAAAGAGGGCATTTCAATGAACATCATCCAATGCTATGCGCCTACCAACGACTACAATGAAGACGCTAAAGATCAATTCTACGATAGGCTGCAGTCAATCGTCGAGAAGTACCCAACAAAGGACCTGACCATTCTGATTGGAGATTTAAATGACAAGCTTGGAACGGACAACACCGGATATGAAGACATCATGGGACGACATGGACTGACTGGGAGAAAGGAATAAAAATGGTGAGAGACTTGCGATCCCATGTGCCTTCAATAAACTGGTCATTAGCGGCATTATATTCCTACACAAACGCTTACACAAAACCACATGGACTTCAATCAATCATACTACGCAGAACCAAATCGACCATATCTGCATCAACAAAAAGTTCAGGAGGACGATGGAGGACGTGAGAACCAAGAGAAGAGCTGATATAGCATCAGACCATCACTTGCTGGTCGCCAAGATGAAATTGAAACTCAAGAAGCACTGCACGACGGGGCGGACAACATCACAAAAGTTCAATATGGCCTTTCTTCAGGATACTGACAAACTCAACAAATTCAAGATAGTCCTCAGCAACAAGTTCCAGGCCTTTCATGATCTACTCAATGGAGAAGGAACTAATATGGAGAGCAACTGGAAGGGGATCAAAGAGGCAATCCCCTCAACATGTAATGAGGTTCTGGGCCACAAGAAGCACCACCACAAGGAATGGATCACTGTTGATACACTGGATAAGGTTCAAGAAAGGAGGTACAAGAAAGCAGCAATCAATATCAGCCGAACAAGAGCAGAAAAAGCCAAAGCACAAGCTGAATACACAGAAGTAAACAAACAAGCGAAGAGGAACATCAGGACCGACAAACGTAAATATGTGGAAGATTTAGCAACGACGGCGGAAAAGGCTTCAAGAGAAGGAAACATGAGACAACTGTATGACACGACAAAGAAACTCTCAGGAAATCGCCGCAAACCAGAACGACCAGTGAAAAGCAAGGAAGGCAAGGTAATCACCAACATTGAAGAGCAAAAAAACAGGTGGGTAGAACACTTCAAAGAACTCTTGAATCGACATGCTCCTCTGAACCCACCCACCATCGAAGCAGCGCCCACGGACCACCCAATCGATGTCGGCCCACCAACAATTGAAGAAATCAGCATGGCCATCAGACAAATCAAGAGTGGCAAAGCAGCAGGACCACATAACATTCCAGCAGGAGCACTGAAAGCAGACGTGGCGGTCACTGAGAGGATACTCCACATTCTCTTCAATAAGATTCGGGATGAGGAACAAGTGCCAAAAGACTGGAAAGAAGGACTTCTGATCAAAATACCGAAGAAAGGCGATCTCAGCAAGTGTGACAACTACAGGGGCATCACTCTTCTCTCAATACCGGGAAAAGTCTTCAACAGGGTATTGTTAAACAGGATGAAGGACTGCGTAGACGCCCAACTTCGTGGCCAACAGGCAGGATTCCGTAAGGATAGATCGTGTACAGACCAAGTCGCAACTCTACGGATCATTATGAAGCAATCAATTGAATGGAATTCATCACTCTACATCAACGTCATTGACTACGAAAAGGCTTTTGATAGCGTGGACAGAACAACACTATGGAAGCTTCTTCAATAATACGGCGTGCCTCAGAAGATAGTCAATATCATACGGAATTCCTATGATGGATTACACTGCAAAATCGTGCATGGAGGACAGTTGACAAAGTCGTTCGAAGTGAAGACCGGTGTCAGGCGAGGTTGCTTACTCTCACCCTTTCTCTTTCTCCTGGTGATCGATTGGTTCATGAAGACGTCAACATCTGGATAGAAGCACGGGATACAGTGGACATCTAGGATGCAGCTGGACGATCTAGACTTCTCAGATGATCTGGCCCTCCTATCGCAAACGCAATAGTAAATGCAGGAGAAGACGACCAGTATAGCAGCAGATTCAACAGCATCAGGTCTCAATATACACAAAGTGAAAGGCAAGATTCTCCGATACAACACAGCAGGCACCAATCCAATCACAATTGACGGAGAAGATTTGGAAGATGTGAAAACCTTTACATATCTGGGCAGTATCATTGATGAACATGATGGATCTGATGCAGATGTGAAGACGCGGATCGGCAAAGCAAGAGCAGCATATTTACAACTGAAGAACATCTGGAACTCAAAACAACTGTCAACCAATACCGTAGTCAGAATCTTCAATACAAATGTCAAGACAGTTCTACCGTATGGGGCGGAAACCTGGACAACTACGAAAACCATCATCCAGAAGATACAAGTGTTTATTAACAGTTGTCTACACAAAATACTTCCGATTTATTAGCCAGATACTGTCAGCAACAACCTACTGTGGGAGAGAACAAACCAGATCTCAACAGAGGAAGAAATCCGGAAGAAGCACTGGAAGTGAATAGGACACACATTGAGGAAAGCGCCCAACTGTATCACAAGACAAACCCTCACATGGAATCCTGAAGGTCAAAGGAGGAGAGGAAGACCAAAGAACACATTACACCGAGAAATGGAGTCAGACATTGGAAGAATGAACAAGAATTGGATGAAACTAGAAAAGAAGGCCCAGGACAGAGTGGGTTGGAGAATGCTGGTCTGCGGCCTATGCTCCATTGGGAGTTACAGGCGTAAGTAAGTAACGATTAGCACTTAACTACGCTAATTAAGAGAGAAAATTAATAACAGGACAATGTAAGAGCCTGTATCAATTACCTTTGAAATCGAACTCCCGGTTTGCAGTGATAAACTGTAGGTGTTTGCACTATGCATGAGATTGTATTCATTATCATATTTGAGGTAATTTAACTTTGAAAGTATTATAAGAACGTAGTAATTAAACATTCAATGCTTTGTTGCTTTTATTTTATTATAGCTGAATTGTTTGAAAATGGCTAAGTATGGCTATAACGATATTAAAAAATCCGGTAAGTGGATAAGTGAAAGAAATTAGATCTTTTTTTTACCTTGGAAAGTTTTTTAATCATATAGCTATTACTACATACTTTGACTCAAAAGTAATAGATTGATAAAAAGCCACGAGTAGGAATTGTTCAAAAGGTAATCTTATCTAATAATTTTCATGGAAATTTTAGGTTTTGAAAATTAAGCTGGGTTCATTATAAAAAAATATTTATTATTAGTATACAATGGTATATATTTATATCATTCCCTTAATGACATAAAGACATTTAAATTTGAAAAATTATCATATTGTGATTTAGAGAAACATATATAATCGAACAATATTGTTTTCGATTAAATTCTCATTAGGCTTTACTCTAATAAACAGTAATATTTATATACATATACGAAATTATTAAACCAATCAAGGCAGTTTATGAGTCAATGATTACAGTGGAATAGATTATATAAATAAACATAAACCTCTCTTCTTGAAGCTGCAAATTAATGGAGATGTAGCTGGTGATGTACTACGTGATAGACTAACTAGAGCAGTGAAGAGAACGTTTAATGCAACTAACCTCTGTCTATCGTACTCGAACCGGTCTATGGTGATTCCTCAACTAAAGGATAAGTTACCTGGTTATGCCATCTCTGTGTGTATCTACGAATTTAGCTGTTCTTGTGGAGGAAGCTATATTGGGCTCACTACCAGATAACTGAACCAAAGAGATAGTGAACACTTCCCTTCCTGATTAAAAAAGGTACTGTCAAGACAATGCACAGCTCGGTTCTATCACACTTGATCAGTAGCAGTCATATAGTAGACAAAAATAAGTCATTTAAAGTTATTTATCGAATTCCTACTAGTGTTCCTTATGGTGTTCGATTTCGTCTCTTACAAATAACAGAAGATATAGGAATTCGAACCAACAATCCAAGTCTTTGTGTTCATAAGAAATTTGTAACACCCTTATCTCTCCCTTGGCCTTAATAAATGATTTTATTTATTATTTTCCATACTATTTATCGTTTATTTTTCTTCACCCCCTCCTACCATCTTGTTTTTTCTCAAATATACGTTTCACGGTCTAATTATCAGAACACTTCTTATTACGTAATCTTATAATTTTTGTGGATGTCTTTTCAGTGTCTGTATTTTTCTAATCATTGACTTATTTCCCATTATGTAACATTGATTCAAGTCTTTATTATTCTTAACACAACTAGTACACCTGTCATGACACTACCAATTTGTACTTTCCACTTATTTATGTAATCTATTCAACTGTAATCATTGACTCATAAACTGCCTTGATTGGTTTAATAATTTCGTATATGTATATCAATATTACTGTTTATTAGAGTAAAGCCTAATGAGAATTTAATCGAAAACAATATTGTTCGCTTATATATGTTGTTATAAAGATATTTGTTTTAATTATCTTAACCTATTACCATAATCCATTGTTAATTTACTAGTTTTACAATTTTTTAATATTTAGTCATATCGTACCAAAATTAAACAACCTTGTATAATAAATATTTATAATGTATGATTTAGTAATTTGAGTATTTATTTAAACAGGAAAACAGTATTCACTGTTCATTATTTTTTTGTACCTATACTGTCCACCTTGCCCCATTCACCGTTGAAATGACTATTTTATTATGAGAAGGGGTTTTGTGAAGATTGTAGTAATTCCAATAGTTGAGATCATAAGGCAATTGAAGCCAGGTTTTTCATGGTGGTCTAGCTTTAATTGACTCATCATCTCAACTATTGAGACTATTTTATTTCTAACAATAATAATAATAATAATAAACAGGAATATCTTTTGTGAAATCACGAGTTACATTATAGTGAAATCGTGTATCAATAGAATATTCTGGAATTCATTTTTACCAAAATATGTAAATTTACAAAAAGTATTCTTCTTTTTTTTTCTCTTAAATAACAGAATATCTAAACTAAACCTTAACAAGTATTTCAACTTGTTTTTAATGAAAAAAAATTAATAAATAATAACATTATTAATCATATATACATATGAATACATGAATACATACATTCATTTAACTAAATAGTGTTTTTTTTCTCTCGTTGGGGTTGTTGTTATTATTGTTAATGTATATGAATTAATTCAAAATTTTCTTTCATTTTATGATTTACACATTTCAGTAGCTCTTAATTGATTTAAGTAATATTGTACATACCTTCTATTTGTCTGTTTATCTATCTAACTAAATATCTATTTATTAATTAAAAAAACTAAGATATAAATGTTAATTTATTTAATTGAAGTTTCTATAGTATTTTGATTATGTATGTAATAGTTTAGATGAAGTTATATTCACTTTTATTTTATTGTATTTCTTTTCTTTTTTTTATTCTTTGAAAAAAAGTAAAATGTTCGTTTAGTATACTAATAAAATTGTTAAGCTTTTTACATCAATTATTATATTGAAAGAGGAGAAATCTTCTTGTAACTGTGAAGTTATATTCTATCTAAGTAAAACTTTTGTTTTTCCAATATAGCTTAATATTTATAAAGTGATATCAATTAAAGTATAAATGAAAATTATGGGTATCATTATGTATTATGAAAAGTTGTCTTTTATGTTGGTAGTAACTAAAATGAAATGCCAGTAATATGTATCTCATAAAAATTTAGAGTTATACTTTCGATTGTAATGAACTAAACAAATTGGATAAAAATGATGCAATAAAACTATCTAAAATATCAACGAGATATTTTTTAAAAATATGGACCATGTGATGGAAGTGATAATCTGAATAAACAACATGATCATTAGATACATTGTGTCTGAAATAGATTCATTTCCATACAGTTATTTGTATACAACATTTAACAGTACACATGAACAAATATTTAAGGGTTAATTACAGATATATAGAACAAGACTGAAAATCTTGAGGAGAGAAAGTTTAATCAACTTATTTACAGACTAGGTTTTAGCACTACACAGAGCCACCCCTGAAGTTGTTTGAATGATATTTTATGATGGGATACATTTTAGTAGTAAGAACAACTGTTTGCATTTCTCTAGATCCTATTCACATAAAAATGGTCTACTTTAATTTTTCTGAGATTCATGGACAACATTACATAGGAACCCGATTTTTTTTCACATTGAAGATGTTCTTATTAGCTACTTCACCATTGACAGAAGGTATTCAGTGTCTAAGCAATTCGTGCACTCGTTTTCAACAAACCATTTTAGCTATAAACGCTGATAAATGTCCTTTCTGTGTCCAAGTGTTAATTTCCGGACGAATAAATCACACTAACCAGAAATCGTAAGGTAAATACTGTGAAAACTAGTGTTCTAATCACAAAAATTTGTAACTCCACCTTTAACCGTAATCCCAGTTATAGATGTATGATTCATGACTGGTTAAATGAACATATAATGAAGATCATTTTAAACATTTCCAGATATCGACAACTTACTAATGTGATACTTACTTTCTTGGTTTTACTTTCATCAGTATAGAAGTCGTGAAAATGGTTAAATATTGCTGAGATCTCGGATCCGTTTTGGTTAGGTAACCTTTGGATCACTGCTTCATTATAGTATGGGACTTCTTAGCAATACACACCCAAGAACCTACTAATTTGGGTCGAACTCGGGACCTTTGATCTCTAGAGTAAACACTTTATCTCCAAACTACTGAGCATTTAACTTCAATAGACACCTTACTCATGCTCTACATGGTTGAACTTAACTGATCATAGCTTTTTGATGGAACTCCTGAATTCCTCTCATGAAGCTACTCACTAGTAATCAATCACATGATGATTATCAAAAATGAAACTGTAGAGATTGTTGAATATTATTGACACATAACTTTGAGTAAAGTAAGCATATTTGTAATTTTATTTCAAAATGAATACATTTACTCAAAATGATTTAAATTTAATATACCAAGTAAAAATCTACATATTCTTTCTTTATTTCATATCAATTACTATTTAGAAAACTATGACCAATCTCAATATTCATTTATTGAAAATATAAATAATGCAAGACATGTACATTCAACAAGTAGCACTAATGCAATACCAGTTCATTCACCTGAAATGCGTAATATGAATTCATTTAAGCATCATAATGATTTACTTTATTTAAGTAAAAATTTCAAATCTGCTGAATGTGGACTAAATAATTTAGATGGTGGTGATAACCAAGTATTTAATATTGATACCTATAATGATAATGTTTTAGCAAGAATGCAAGAACGAAGTCGTAATAGTGCAGATGAAGGAACATTCAACTTGAATTCAAATTACCGCATGATTTCACCAAATTATACAATAAAAGATAGAAAACCTGTACATAATTTAAGTAAGAAATGAGATTTTATTGAGTTTTCTCTTTTATTACTTCGTTTTACTATACAGTTTACGATAAAATGGTTTTGGTAAGTTAAGATTTAATATATTCATAACTTATACAACTATACACCTTACGGTTTTTAAAACGTAAACTGATGTAATATGTGAATTATTCATAGGAAAACTGAAAACGCTCTTGACCGAATGTTGGTACACTGATATACTAATCAGATTGGATTATTTTGATGCCTACATTTAGTTTTCTAGCCAGAAAGACTTTGTTTAAGGTTCCTGAATATCAGGAAGGTAGAAAGAGGAATGGTCAGAATGAATAATTAATTTTGTAGTGTTGGCTGCTTTCATTAAGGTGAGGCTTTGGAAACTTTACTGTATTTTGGTTGTGGATGTAACAATTTACACACACAACTCCTCTACGCCACACTATCACATCTTTTAACTCCGAGAATTTCTCTACGAAAACGAGGTTTTTAAAAGACGGCTGTAACACTATACATATTCATTTGATAGATCGCAGTATACTCTAGTCATAAGGGCTTCTATTAACTCACTGAAATATAGTAAACAACCCTCTTTGAACTGCAAAACAGATCAATTTTATGAAGCTTCGCATACCTATGTACTTACTGTGCTTAAGTTAATGTAGAGAAGAGGTTTTACTGACAAACCACCACGCTTAAGACAAATATTTTGTCCTAACGATTCATATTATCTGCTTTACCTTTAAGATCATACGTTGTTGGGCGGCATGCACTTAAAAAACAGGATGACATAATATCTGTCCTGGTTGCAATCAAAAGACCACACTAGGCTTAGTAATTTTCGAAGCAAATCTGTCAAGAATTCATTCTCTTTTTTGAGTAACTGGTTGAAACAAAAATTTTCCTATATGTTTCTGTGCCTGAAATTCTCTTCTGATTGGTTTATGCTAAACCAGCAGCAACCTCAAATGCAGATGCTAGGTTTCCTAGGAGTAAGTTGGAAAAAAGCTAGAGATAAGCAAATCTAAACGTGTTATCAATACATTGAATCAGAGACTGTTAATATGAGCCATGATAGTGGATGCAGACCACATGTTTAGAGTCCATTTGACAACGGCAGTCAGTATTTGGATGACATGGCTCAGAATCAGTCATTAGCTGACTCTGCTTGCTAATAGAACATGCAAAAGTATCTAAGTTACCGAATAGTATATACTGTTACTCACAACGCTTATTGCTTTCGCTCTGGGATTTTATAAAACACGAAAAAATCTTTTCTAAGATTGAGAGATCGCTTTGAGCAACTTAAAGATGATCATATACCACTGTTAGGGGTGTTGGTGTTAAGTTTCAACACTTTACTCATTGCTCATTGAATGACACTACACTAAACAACATGGAGTGTTTAGACCTAGTAGTGTTACTTGTAAGAGGAGTTGAGGCGACTTTAAAATAAGAGCATATACTACAAATATCCGAAACTTGTTTATTTTGACGCCTAGTTTGAGAATAAAGACTGAAGTGACAGTCTTTTTCTTTACCACTTTACCTATTTGTCAATATCTATGTTATACTGGCTATCTGAGCGATTTAGCCTTGCTGCTGATTTGCCAAATTACAACAACTATAAGTTGTTCTACTTCTGATCACATAGTAAGTTTACTGTGCACAATTCTACCTCATGTTACTATGCAAATGTTGAAAAAGAAGACAAGAATTAAGAATTTCAAGTATTTATTAATGTATGCCTCTGATTATTGTTTACATGAAATACACATACCGAATCAATGTCTACACTAACATGAAAATACAAATTAATTAGGTTTATAGAAAGCTAAGGTTAGTCAGATCAAACAAAACATAACACGAATCAGTTATTTTCATTATTTATATTTGCTTCCTATGACTATTATGAAAATTCATATGAATAAATATAAGAACACTAAATGGATCTTATAAAAAAGTTATGTAGATTTATCGCAATATTTCAGATTGTTCAAATGAACAAAACAATATACAAAAACCGAAGTAACATTTAACCAAATTACACTATGAAATATACATTATTGTTTTTTTCTATGGTTTGGTCTATGTTCAATACAGTTTTATATTACTATTTTTAAAATAAATTGTAAATTTACTTTTATCAGAAATAACCTAACAATCAGGTGATCATCATTTGTAATAAAATATCACGTAGTTGTATTGATATCAGATGTGAGAGAAAGAAAGGAACTTTGAATTATTAAAATTCTGTATAAATAGTTCATTTACTGTTGAAACAAAAAACTTAATTAGGAAAAAAAATTCTGTCAAGTTATTGACAAATATTAACTTTAAGTTATTTATTTCCTATACATTAATCTTGTTCACATGATAACAATAAGTAACTAGAAAGAATACAGTTTAAATTCTATTACTAAATATGTTTTATATGAGGTAGTTAATAATAACATATAATAACATTTGATAACATAGCTGCCAATAGCCCCCAAATGCCATGGTATGACCAAGATTGGAGAGAGTCGGCTCTCCCTCTCGAAATGCTCTCACATGGTCACGCGTATGTACATACTGCCCGGGGAGTCATACTCATTGCCTTCTCGCGACATGGGTGTTGTTTACGAAATTGAGAGGACGAAAAGCGAAAGTTAGACGCTTTAACAGGGTTAGTGGATATAGAGGGGGAGTTGGAAAACCTTGATTCCAAACCAATGGTGTATATGGGCTCCAGCTTCCTAAGGAAACAAGTGGCGTATGAACCAATTGTTGGTCACCGGCTACCATGGGACTAAATCTCGTGACGTTGCTCCACTGCCTTGTGAATTAGACCTTTAGGTCAAAGGCTCGGGTTGTGGTCTCCTAAGAAAACCATCTGCTTCTGTTTGGGCATCCGGGCAGTATCCCGACCCTCACATAAATCGAATGATTTATGTAGTGCATATCTCTTTGGTGCCTCCTTGTACCAATGTTTATTGAGTTTTACACGTACAAGACTCAATGATATACTAATTATAAGAAAAACATTAAAACAACTGTGGTTTAAATTCATAATTCACAACTAGTTTTTCTTACCTATTTCTCTATTGCACTTCCCATACTTGTCACCCAGAAATATCAATAATTTGTGCAGTCATTACCTTTCCATTAACAATGAGCCCTAGTAATCTAGTCATCAGTAGTTCAGACTGGAGTTTGAATGTGGTCATAATCAAAGATGATTTTTTTCTCACCTTGCTACACCTTTATATATTTAGGATCAAAAATATGCACACCTAGATATTTTGAACATATATTTGGATAGGATTTAAACCAACCACTTTTTTAAAATATTTATGGTTATACTGTTGACATTTATTCTTAGAACTAAGGAAAAAGACCACGGTCATTTTAATGTCATCCAATTTTGCGTTACTGCCCATCATTAATTCTTAATAAGTGTAAAATTTGGACTAACATATGAAGTAATTGTCATCAAAATGGGATCATGGCTAGCAGTGAAAAACGGGACTGGCATTTCGTCCTAGTCGGGATGCTTCTGCTTCAGGAAACCTCCAACTACTTATTGATGTTCTCACTGCAAATCAAACTTAGTACCTTTTACTTCTAATACTAATGCGTTATCCAGTGACCTACTGATTCCAAATGGCCAGTGGTCTGGGTGAGGGATATCATTTTGATTTGAAGGGCTTTTAATTTTTTACCGTTAATCTCAAGGGTTACAATTGATCTGTCTTTATTGGGATATGTGCTTACTGAGCAGATTTCCTTGAAATGTCAGGTACATTCAGATGATAAGTTCTAAATAAGATGAAAAGCGTTTCCTGCCAATATACATCTTTAATAAAAACTTATGACTAAACGACAATATCACGATAATTTCTTAAATATGCACATATACAAATATAAATTTATGAGTTGTGGTTTGGAACGTTAGCGGCGGGGGGAATACAAACCCTTGAAAATCAAAAAGGGTTCTCAAATATAGAGTAGTGTTATGAACTGTTTAAATACATCAAAATAGTTTAATGTTTCATACAGTAATTAAAATGTCTTAAATATTTAAATGACTGTATCGATATTCGATGTACAACTTACTTGAGCAGTTTCATTTTTTTATATTTTTCAATATAGATTCAACTATACTTTATAATAGAGATCATCTCTACTCACAAGAACTACTGAATCGTTTAATTCAAAGTTCACAGTCAAACGGTTACACAAATTATACACCAGTTTTTAACAAACCATCACATAAATTATCAACTAAAAATAATTATCATTTTTCTGAATTAAATAATCAACAAATTATCAAAAAACCAAGTGTACCAAAAAGTGGTTCACCATCGAAAGGAAGTTATTTAACTTCTTCCGAAATTGAAATTCATTTACCAAGAGAATATCAATCTTTTCAATCAAATCAATATTCAAAGAATTCATTTCAACCTGGTATAAACAATCAAAATGTAACAAAAACATTTTCGGAGAACCAAAATTTGAAACAATCTAAATTGAATAAATGTTCAGGTTCTGATCGATTATCTTTAAAGAAATATTTAAAATCTGATTGTAAAAAGAAACTTTTATTAAATCGAGATGATTCAAAACTACCAATAAATAGATCTAAAAGTCCACCACAAATGTTTATATTACGTAAAAGTGCATCACAACCTTGCATTTACAAAGATGATCTAAATAAGGAAGAAATTAACAGGTATTTAAAAAAACAACAACTTGAATATGTATTAGCAAATGCTACTATTCATTGTTCGAGTTTGTTTTTTTTAATAAATGGAATTCATATTCTGTGTAATTCACTTAGATATATAAAGAGTAGGATAAAGAAATTACTATAGCAATCAATAAAAGTTTTGGAATTTCCAACAACAGGGTTTTTATTATTATATTTTTTACCTGAAAACAAAATATAGTGAATTGTCCGCTTCTCTTTAATACGCTTGTGATATTAATGTTAGAAGTTTGATGACTGATTAAATTTTCAAATGAAAGTTAACAAGGAGATTCAACATTTCTTATACGAGTTAGTTAGCTAGTTTTAAGTTATTTTGAATAGATTAACTTCATTACAAAGAATCATTTTGATTTCCAAAACAACAGTTTACATTATAGAAATTCGAAATGATTTCTATTTTTATGTTTTCTGTGTTATTTATATTTCACTTCTACAATACAGTATTTAAGAACTTAATAAATTATTGTGGGATATATGAAATTATCAGTATACCTTTATGGAGATTATTGAATTTTTATTAAGGTCATGAACCAACCAATGTTAGATCACCATTGAAAACCTGGAAGCACCAGACGGCCGTTTCTGCCTAGTGTGGAACTCCTCAGCAGTGTACACCTATGATTCTGCGTGTCGGAATCGGGCCCAGAACCTTCGGTCTCGAACGAACGCTTAACCTCTGGATCACTGGGCCTGCATCCATCGTCCAGAGCCTACAGGTTTTCAATAATGGTCTGGCATTTATCGGTTCATGGTCTCAATATAAGATTTTCTCTGAATGTGGGGAATTCGCAAAGCCAGTACACACAATTATGTACTTGAATGGCGTTTGAAGCGAACGGTACTGAGTTCGAGTCCCAGAGTGAACATTAACTCTGAGATGCAGGTACATCCAGGTGACGAGTCCCAAACAGGATGAAACGCGCGTCCTAGATTCCACTGCTAGCCACTATCCATCTTTGCTTATAAATGTGGTCTTAGTTTATTATTCACAACTGCACCAGAATTAATAAACAGCTTTTTACACCTCCCTTTGCACTCGCCAAAATTATTACCCGAAAATAATAAGTAGTAATAATAATAATAATAATAATAATAATGGAAGAAGTTGAGTGTTTGTTATCTGCTTTTATTAAATGATTTGGCTTTTTGTAACTATTTTCGTAGATGCTCAGCCGCCCATATTGTAAATTACGATTAGTCCTCTATTGCATATGTGTGTCCACAAAAACATGTAAATTGATAAACACAGTGGAATAAGATACAATCGTTTATATACTGTTTATATTCTTAATATTTCAGCAATGGTTTTAACTTTTTCTGTATTTGATTCATGCATCGTGAGACGATAAAATATAAGAATTGAACTGAGTAGGTGAATTCTACTTGTATTAGGTGTCCAATAGGGTTAATGTTATATCACTTAATGGAGAACTAAGTAAAATAAGTAACAACCCATAAAAATATAAAACGTCGTGGACATTTTCATTTGAGCCTAGAACTAACTAATTGTATTAAGAAGAAAAATTTACTGTATTATCAATATTCATAACGTCTAATTATTGTCAATATCACTTTAAATGAGTTTATCAATGTTCTTAAAAGAATATGTATCATGTCACTTAAAAGCAGCATCAATTTGAATAAAATTTCCATTCCTTTATTTTTATTTAGCTGGAAGACGATTTGGGCTGTACTTTATGTATTGTTTAATCCATTATCTCATTGACTTACGTAGACTACTACAGTAGGCTATTTCAACAACACATTGCGGAGCGAATAATTGATTATTTCAGTCATCAGAAAAGACCTAGTTTCCAATAATAATAATAAAATTATGTTTTTGAGTTGAAAAAGACAGGCTGGATGCATGAAAAAGTATTTGTTTAATTTCATTTCAAAAATATGCACATAATATAAAAAGTATAAAGTTTTTCAACAGTACACTTCTCTCTAAGTTGTAGTATGATTTTTAAGCATTAAATTACTATCTTGACAACAAGCTTCATTATTTAGAAAATTTAATCGTATTTCAAATCATCACTACGTAGTATAATCTAATAAAATCATGTATTAAATTTACAAATTTTAATTTATGTTTCAACATATAAGCACCTAGAACAAAAACAAACGAAAAATTTACGAAAATTAATTGAAAAGAATGATTGCACAGTGATAATCTCTAGAGATGATTTTGTGAATTGACATTTTTAATAAGGTCATTTAATAAAAATTCATAACATTCTTCTTTATAACACTTTAAAATAGTATAAATCTAATCAACTATTCTCAGGATGCATATGACACAGATCGATCTCAGTTGAGGGATATCTAAAAACTAGGGCACATCAGATAGTTTTTTTCTAGTATAGGACTCCTTAATAATGGTCAGCCATAATATCACCAACGATCAGACCGAGGACGTTTAGATCTCACATAGAACGTTTAACTATTAAAATCATTGAGTCAATATTATGTAGTACAATTTCAACACTTATAATGTGTATCAATACATTAAAAAGACTACTACTCATCAGATCACATTTTATTTTTTCATATGTTTATTATATATATATATATATATATATATATATATATATATATATATATATATATATATATATATATAATTTATTTATAATGCAGATCGAGTCCCCCTCAAAAATATCCTCTTATCAAACAGAGTAGTGAATTGAATGCAAACAAATCATCAACTGAATCAATTGATAGAGAAATTTTGGATATTGATTATAAGGCTTCAACATCGTTATGGTATGATCACAATGATAATAATAATAATGTAAAGAAAAATACTTTTAATGGTGTTGTTAATCATGGTAATGATCAACACTGTTTACAAGATACCAGTCAATTATTACCATCATATCCTCGTATAATAAAACAAGTTTCTAAATTGCCTAAACACATTGAAGTGGATAAAGAAAAAGATTATGAATATAGTTCAAATTCAACAAGTCAGTCAAGTACTTCAAATATCACAAATAATCATATAAAAACCAAACATAAATCTATGACGAATTATCAATATAATGATAATAAATTAAAAGTTATTCATGGAACTGATAATGCAAATAGTGTGAAGAAGTAAGTAATATATATTTTTTCTCACGGGTTTTGAACAACGAACTGATCTTAGACCATTATTGAAGGTTCGGGAGCACTGTTTGGTTATTTCATTTCAATATAGAACTCTTCAACTGTGCTCATTCATAACTCCACATCTCGGAATCAACCCCAAAACCTTCAGTCGTAAGCGCTAACGCCTAAACTCTAAACCACTAAGATGGAATCCGATGACATGCACACTTAGTTTTAGTCAGTCTGAGATTGTGCTCGACAATTATTCATCATCTCTGACAGGTATTTTCTTCATGCTCCATACTATTGAGTTCTATTGGTCATAGATTCTCACTAAAACTTTGTGAATCGCATCTTGAAATTAAATGCCAGTGAGCACATAAATATCAGCTTGTGATTTAAAATCCATGAGAATTCTATAATCTCTACAACGCCCTATACTGGCATATATGCCGAAATTATAACATTTCTTGATAATTTTAACAAAATTGATCCTGGCATACCATCCTACGTGGGTTGTTATATTAAATTTTGTACTCTTATAGTAGTCCATATTCTATAAAGTTTTGTGATTCCATTTTTTCCTCTTAATTACTTGTAGGCCGATATATGAACAAAATGAAACTAGTTATAATAACGTACATATATCAAGAGAATGTAAACAAAATAATATTATTGATCGCAATGATTCCTCCACCTTATCAAACTCTTTGTCTACGCTAAAATTGTCGAATGGAACTGCAAATCAACAAAACCGAATCATAAGTAGCAACTGCACTACTGCTATGATAAAAACTAATAATAATAGTAATAATAATGGTGATTTGAATAAATTTATAAAGCATACATCCGATGATCAGTTGAATAATTATGAGTTAGATTTAACAAATGACTCTGGTATATCATCTGTGAATAAAGATTCGATAATACCAAGTGGTGTAATCTGTTTACATAAAGAAATTAATCATATGGTATTTGGTCCTTCTCGTAATCCACTCAATAATGCTGTGTTGAATTTCACAATTAGTGAACGAATAAATACACCAACATGGTTAGCTTTATGCACGGATGAAATGAAAGTTTACGTCTATGATTTATGGGTAAGCAATGAGTAAATTTATCCCAAATTATGATAGAAATCGAAATTAATTAAGAGTGTTATTAATCTAATGAACGTAGAACTCTGTATACAGAATTTAAAAGTAATAAATGAACGATGTTACATTGATGAGGAAAATGAAATGCTTCCATTTAAGTTCAGTCTGACCAGATGTACAATTATAAGACAAATAAGGAATATTGGTTACAATTTCATTTCGATATTGGTACCGTTAAAAACTAGGCAATGCTGGATAGTTCTTTCATCCTTATATGGGACTGATCGGCAGTGGTGTCCGCGGACTTCAGTAGCAATTGGATCTAGGACCTCCATGTTTCACCCAGTGGTGTAAGACTTGAAGGTTCTAGGTTCGTTTCCTGGTGAGGTTGGTGATCTACATTGCTGATCAGTCTCATACCAGGATGAAACAGCTGTCAAGTATATCCCGGGTTTTGATATTATCTCTACTGAAATGATTTTTCGACAAATCTTATTTTAAAATTTAAATTACCTCCACGACCTCCCGTCATCTAAAGTGAGAAGTATCTGATTTTATGAGTAAGCAATCATATTTAGTACAAAAACTTGAAAATCCTATTGAAAAAAACTATATGCGATTAGGATAACGATGATAGTATCAAAGTTATGTAAGTAAGAATAAGTCGTAAGGAGTTTTTTAATTTATATAATATCATTTCTAATTTCATTTACAAACTTTGCAGATGGTTGCATAAAGTCGATGATCTATTTGAAGTAATTAATGCATCTCGATGTCTTAATCATGCAAGTCCAATCATTACTGTTTCACAAAATGTCGATATTATTTTAGTCGAAAATATCGATTAGCACACTTAATGAATTATTAGTCATGCTCAGTAAATTTCATTTTCAGTAGGTGTGCTATATAGTAATATGTTATATTTTCCAGTTTGATTTCATCAACCTTATTAAAATAGATATATATGTCAATAACGAAACATTAGTTGTTAAAACAAAACTTATTCAGTATAATTTGATGTTTCACGTGGTACACGCACAAAATAAGCGACAACAACCCAAGAAACTCGCTAAAAATTGTGTAAACCATGCTGTGTAGAAAAAAATACACTCATTTAAAACTATTAAATATTACTGACACTGTATTTTCTGATTTTCTGGCATTTACTCTAAAAGGAAACAAGTTAAAATAGGTTGTCATACAGGAGTACATATAAAAATAAAAAGTGTATTCAGCTAAGCGCTTCTACATTGAGAACAAGTTCTTCACTTATGTTAATTGTATTTTGCAGAACAAATAATTGCAATAATTTTTTCCGTCAAGTTGCAAACTCTCAATACCAGGGGATATGAATAAAGTAGACACATATTTAATTATCAATAGCGTTGTGGAGATTGTTGAGTTTAGATTGATATATCATGAATGGAACAATGATCGATCACCATGGAACACCTGTAAGCACTGGACGGCCGTTTTGTCCTATTATATGACTCCTTAAAAGTACTCACCAGTGGGTGGCTTCAAAATGGATTTCCCGGAGTTCTAGTGAGAAACCATGACCAGTGGAGTGCAACCGTGTCTATTGTGAGGCAGTTAATCACTGGAGACAATGATGGACGGTCGCGCAATTTCGTGAATTGGTTAATTTAGGCATTAACATCGTTGGATGCCGGCTCAGTGGTCCGGAGGTTAAACGTCCACGCGAGACCGAAGGTCCTCGGCTCGAGTTCGTTTGGTGCGGGATCGTGGACGTTCACTGTTGAGTCCTATACCAGGACGAAACGGCTGTCTAGTGCTTCCAGGTTTTCAGTGGTGGTCAAATATTGTTCTATTTATGATATATCAACAAATTTAATTCATAATCCATCCAAAAGTAAATATAAATTCTAAGATGACGGCACTTAATCAGCGTGTTATTTACTCAATTTTAGTATAAATTTATTGTTAACTGACGTTTACTTCTGAATTGTGCAAAAATACCATCACAGTTATTCAATAAAAAGGAATTTAGTAACTGGACTTTAAAAAATATTAAAAAACAGCTATTTAATAATGACAATCAATGCATAACGATCAAATAAGATGCAAGTATTCAAAAACCACATTATCTCTCTGAAATCACTAATTAACATACCTCATTTCAACTCATAATAACTCATGATCGTAGACTAATATCCCTCACCTTAGGTATTTTTCACAATAGGACAGTGAATGAATGCTGGTTGATAATCCTTGATTCATATCTAGTTAGAAAAATGTTCAGATAAAATATTTGGAGAACTCGCGAAATTCTTAACAAGTAGTTCTTACTCATTACGGGAAAATTTATTCCAAAAATTTGAGCTTTACAATGAACCTAAAGTATAATATGATCATAGAAGATAAAAGCAATATCTCTTATAAAACAGCTTACCTTGTCAGGTTAGTAACCCGATCTCTCACTCATTTGTGTTAATAAATCCTTTCTAATTACAAAAACTCCTAAAACACACAGTCATAAACGTTCTTACGAACAGATATACTACGAAGTTTCATTCTTGCCTTCAACAAAAGTTGATGATGCTACATGTTAAGGCAAAGTAGCTTACGACTCCGTTGAAAAAACAAGTCTCCAAAAATAAGAGATTTGATCTTGTCTAAGTTTCTGAGAATTTCTTTTCAAAAATTTGATTACGAGTTGAATAAATAGACAAAACATCTAAAACTGTTATTCTTCAACTTAAAGTAGAACAATCTGAAAAGCTTGAAGGAATTGAAGTCATTAGTTATATGATAAATCAAAAAGTTCGGTCCTCTGAACACGTTTCAATCTTCTACGTGAATCACGTATATTAACTATGATCTTACATTACCCAGGCATGAAATCCGAAGTGTATTCTTATCCAAATTTTGAGAGTCATCAAGAACTAATCACAAAAATTGAAACCTCCATGTACGACTTGTTTATACAATTCTTAAATCCTGATGATCACTGACCTGAATTATGAAGTTAAATCCAATAATGGAAATTCCCATGGTCAAGGCTGAATTACGTTACAGCATTTCTACTAAATTTGAATTATAATAGGCTTTTAATTATCTACTCACCTAAGGTGTCTGATTTGATCCAAACCTCTGTATTATTGCATGTCTTATGAATAATTCTCTATAGCCTTAACATTATCGGTAAATAGTAAGATGGATTACTTTGTCATTGATTGCAGATCATTTGCACAAATTTTGAGGAGTACAGGGTTCAAACGAAATTTTACCTCGTCTATTTGAGATCTGAACATGTTTATTTAACAGACAATTTTAAGAATTAAAATCATCATTTTTCGTTAAAATAACTACATGTTAACACTTCATTGTAACATAATTTATACTTTCAAAAGTACAAATGGAGTATTTATTAACCTTTAAAAGAATTTTCACAATGAAAAATTAGACTTAAAATTTTGAAATATTATAGAAGATTCAGCAAGATACTTGACAATTATACAAGTACAATTACATATTTACTTACGCCTCTTCCTCCCAATGGAGCATAGGCCGCCAACCAGCATTCTCTTACCCACTCTGCCCTGGGCCTTCTTTTCCAGTTCTATCCAATTTTTGTTCATTTTACTCATATCTGTCTCCATTTCTCGGCGTAATGTGTTCTTTGGTCTTCCTCTCCTCCTTTGACCTTCAGGATTCCATGTGAGGGTTTGTCTTGTGATACAGTTGGGCGCTTTCCTCAATGTGTGTCCTATTCACTTCCAGTGCTTCTTCCGGATTTCTTCCTCTGTTGAGATCTGGTTTGTTCTCTCCCACAGTAGGTTGTTGCTGACAGTATCTGGCTAATAAATCGGAAGTATTTTGTGTAAACAACTGTTAATAAACACTTGTATCTTCTGGATGATGGTTTTCGTAGTTGTCCAGGTTTCCGCCCCATACAGTAGAACTGTCTTGACATTTGTATTGAAGATTCTGACTACGGTATTGGTTGACAGTTGTTTTGAGTTCCAGATGTTCTTCAGTTGTAAATATGTTACTCAAATATAATTAACCATTCAGTAATATTATAAATGACAAAATTTTAACGAATGAGCTTCTGATTCTATAATAAATGTATAATTTTGGAAATTACTGTAAAACAATGAAACACTATTATCAATCAGATTGATCACCAGTAAAATTCAAGCAAATTATAGATTTCATTACTTAGTGGCATCAAAAATTCAAAACAAGAAAAATGAACATATTATCCAACTATTATCCTGTGATGTTTTAAATTCATTCTGTCAGTCATTACTAAAATAGATTTTGTCATCTATATACGCATACCTTTACAAGTAAACTAATTATGGTTATTAATCATGTATGTACATGTAGGAGGATTCGAAAACATGTCAGTCAACTTTATTTTTTTAAAAATTAAACTAAATTAATACTCATCTTTTCCAAGTAATTCATCACAAAACTCTTCAGAAAAAATCAGTAAATAAAGTTAAGAGAATAAGCCAAAAAAGAAATAGAAAGCTGAATTGTATAAGAGTAAACAACAACAAAATAAACTTTTTGTGATATATTAGCGCATTACATTTCAAGGTGATTCAAATAAAAAAGACTTAAATCAGTCATCAACAAAACGTATTGCGCAGCAAAGGTCATTATCAAAGAAAGAACATGGTGCATACTTCATCCAAAACCTAAAAGACATGAAAACGATTGTGTCATATCTCACTATGTCTACCAATTTAAATATTTGTGTGGTCACACATACATAGGGAGGAGCAATCGTGATCTTAAAATTAGGGTATGTGAACATGTACCAAAATGGTTGCAGAAATAAATAGGATCAAGTGACCCAATAAGAGTAGAGGATAAACATCCATCATCCTCTATTGCTAAACATAAAATCGAAACAGGCCATAAGACTGATCTTAACTCGACTTTTGCGGTGTTGTAGAAAGGTGTAAAAGGGCGTATACTAAAATTTATTAAAGCCTTAGCCATACGAAAATTTAAACCCCATTTGTGTATTCAAAAACAGTTTGTTCTCCCCTTAAACCTACCCTGGTAATATTGGCTTATTACCCAGAGTGATTAGGTTTCACATTGTGTTCACATTATTATTATTACTCTTATTATTATTATTATTATCCTTGTCTCCTCTGACCCCCATTTCCAGTCTAGTTGACCTTTAATTTTTATGTATAAATGTTCTTAACAAGTATATTATATGTGATCAGATTGTTCGAAATGTATTGCGCTAATATATCACATAGTTCTAATAATCTTCATCTTCTCAATACATTGTTGAAATTCATCAAAGGGACTAATTGCTTTAAATAAACTTTTGTTTAAAAAAGGTCAAAAATTAATTTTGTTCAGGAAATTCAAAGTAAAAATAACAAATTAAGTGTCAATAAATCATTATTAAAATATGGTTTGTGTGTATGAATAAATAAAAGTCCAATTTTATTCCATTTTTTTCCTGTAGTTTACGTCAAGCACGAAACTCCAGCTAGCTGTTTCAGTCTCCTCAGTAACATGTATCTACAATTCCTCTAGGTATAAATCAATAAGTTTTAGTTCTTGATATAAATCATAAGTCGAATAATTTGTATAAAACTGTCATACTAATAAAAATCTCGTTCCTACTGTTGACTAACTCTGACATTATATTGAGTCATCGAAAACCAAAGAGCATTGAAGAACAGTTTCATTATAGCCCAGGACTCTTTAGTAGTCTGCGCCTACAACTGAGAACTACATCAAAACAGTTGGAGGATAACTAACTGACTGCCAACTCTACTGTGTCCATAGATCACATTTTATCTTCATGAATTTGTCAGGTTCATCTCAAACTAATTACCGAACATACCACTAGTCAGTAAATGTACTTAACTTACGAGAATGAGTTTCGTACGTAACAGGTTGTTTTGATGAAATATTGAAATTAATATTATTCAAGGGTTCTTTTCTGAAAATAAAAGTAATGAGGTGATTTAGTATATTTAGGATCTTTTTGTAAAATAAGTGTATTTTGTAAATAAACACTGAAAAAAATATTATTATTATTATTTCACTAAGAATCCACCAGTAATTCTGTTCCAATTTTCTGGTCTAGATACAGAATATGTAAAGTTAATGCATAAGTCTATATTTTTTAAGCATTTAACTATCACTGTTCAAGGTTATGACTGTCAGACTACACTTTAGACATTTTATTTTCAGAAACAGGTAGCTTGTTTCATCAGCATTCAATAAAAACAAAATGGTTTCTTCATTATAAACAAACAGATAACATTTTGGTAACTAATAATTGTTGAATTAGAATGAAGTTGTAAATATTTTGCGATTATCAATGCCAATAACATATGACATAGATGGCTATACCAAGGCAATCCTCATAGGATGCCCATATTCCAATCAAGAATCGTCAAGAATACTTCTTAATATCAATAATGAGATAACTTAAATCCTTACTAATACTAATCTTAACATTATACTCATTGAACAAGTTAGTGGATATATAGACTCAGTGGTTTAATGAATAACAGATTGAGTGTTTGAAGCTGATATTACTGAATTCGAGTCCTGATGTGAATTGCAACAGTAGGTTGGAAGTACTTCCGGCTAACTAGTCCCAGGTAAAACGAAACACTTGTCGTGCTAGTGAACAAATAAACTCTTTTATGTAAACAACAGAGTTACATCAAACCAACTCCAAACTTATAAAATAACTAAATAAAAATACAAATTTTCTTTATACACAAAAGAGACAACTCATTTATTTCTTATTTCTTTTCTAAAAAAATATTTGAATTTTATAGACCCATAGTTGTTTAACAGAATTTATGAATCATGCTATTTCATCAACGAGTCCTGTAATACATTTGTTCTCATTGAATCCACTAGAATATTCTGATAATTCAAAAGCACATGTTGGATTTCTATGTGTTGTTCAAAAGAATGGAATTTTAACACTATATAACATAGCTGTAAGTTGAAAATGCTATTTTTTTCCAAAATAATATTGTTTTACTGTATTGTTTTGTAACAAATTTATAGCATTAATGAAAAGAACAATGTCTATCGATAAATAAACACATACCTACAAAAAGATATAGGATTATATTGAATTGGGGTTTCTATGAGAAAAGAGAGATCCATTTATTGTCATAGAATTTTGTCAATAAGTACTATTAAATAATGATTAGTAAACAATATCATTTAATGAAATATTTTGTAAATTGGAATCTACGGGAAAATTTTGACAGTAAAATGTATGATACTGATAGTTTAAACATTATTAAAGTTTTATTTAAATACTAGATTTCATGTAAAATATAGTATAAGTTTATTTGTTACAAATTCTCATTTTCATTGATTGGTTGGAATTAGACATTAATACCGTTAGGTGCCGGCTCTGTGGTCTAGTTGTTAGGCGCCCGCGAGGCGGGATCGTGGATGTGCACTGCTGAGGAGTCCAATACTAGAAAAAAAACGGCCGTCCATTGCTTCCAAGTTTTCCATGGTAGTCTAGCTTTAATTGACTCATGAATTCATCTATTAAATGACTATAATATTCACAAAATCCCTTTCTGAACATTATCATTTAATGAATGAACAATTGCGAATGATATATTAAAAAGCGAGATATGCGTAAGTAATTAAGGCGAAAACAATAAAGTTATTATCAATAATATGTACCAACATTTGGAGTTTATTTACTTTAATGAAGAATGGTAAGATTCAAATTTTATTTCTAATACAGTATTTAAAATTCCCTGATCAAATATATTTTGACTAAATGGTATCGATCATCATCTAGTTTCATTCATCTGTAAATATGATGATTTTAGGCGCTAAATGTATTTATAAACTTTTCTCCACTCATGTCTAATGGGTGGATAGTTTCGAAGTGGTAATACGTTTCCTCGGCAAAACATCAGATGGTATTTTATCATTGTATTAAGGCCTTTTAAGAATTATTGAATTTCAAAATTCACATAATGGACCAATCTTAGTTAAACATCCACTGAAAACCAGGAAGTATTAAGAAGTTGTTTCCTCTTAGTACGGAATTCTTCACCACAGTGTATACCAATGAATCTATTGAGGATGAAACCTGGGACCTTTAGATACCGCATAGAGAACTTGTCATACATCTGTGGTGCAATTCAGTAGTTTACAGTTGTAATTCCAATCACTCTATGACACCTCATGACTATATTCCGCCTTCTTCCCACCCGACGTTGTTAAACTCCCCTAGTTATTTTAGCAATCTTGTCTTAATTTAACATACCTATTTTATCATTTATAGAACTAATATATTATTACTGTAATAAATAAATAAATAAATCATATTAATCTCTCTAAATTTGTAGTTTTGAAATTCACATTTTACACCCATTAATTATAATGATCTCATATTCTCAGATCCGAAGAGTTTATTCGTTAATTACATCATGTTTAACTTAACATGTGACTTTAAAAATAAATTTGCACACAATGGTATCTTATCTAGTATTACAAATACAGTACAAATCAAATCAATTCATTGAAAAACTGTATAAACCGTAAAAGATGTTAATTAACAGTTTGTCATCAAATGTTAACGAACCTAATACACGTGATCGATGATTACTAAGTTAAGATCGATGGTTTATTTTTGTTAGCAATCTAATTAAAATCAAATTCCTTTAAAATTCATCTTCTTTATAGATGTTTGAGGAAATTATTGAATGTTATTGATATTACGAACCGATATCCATTAAAAACCTGGAAGTACTACTCATCAGTAATATTCAGTAATCTCCACGAATCTCTGTACTGATAATTGTCAGGCTCTCACTAGTAAATAACTTCGAAAGGCAATTCTGGAATTCTCGCAGGAAGTCGTGACCAGTAAATTTTAGATTTGTTAGTTATAAGTCAGTTACCTTACAAAGACAAAAAAAGTTGGCAGCCAAATGTAGTATAAATTAAGTGGAGCTGAACAAATACATTATCAAATTTCTACTCAGTTGTCTGTAGGTTAAGTGTTTGAACATTAGACTGAAGTTTGTGGTGTCACTCTTCTGTAAGACTGTGGATGGTCATATTTGTGAGGTACCATACTAGAACAAAAAAGCTGTTCATTGCTTCTTTCTTTTTGGTGAATGTATAACGGTTGAATTTGGGATCTGAATAAAACGTACCTTTTTTAGATATCTAACTGTGATTGAAAATGATTTTAGTTTAATGTACATTTAAGTTTTGTAATTCCTATGGGAATTAAATATTTTATAAATCTTAAGATTTTTTTTAAAAAACTGCTTCATTTATACAGTTAGGTTTTATCACAAATTTATTTAGAATTAAAAATCATTTCTGGATATTTTGACATTAATAATGATAAAAAAAATAATGCTCAAATATACAAATCTAATATTTAAGAAAGAGAAATCCTTGTTTTATTTTTATATGTAGACTCGAAATATGATTTCAAGAACAATATTGGAATGTGAAGTATATTGTGCTAGTTTAATTCCATGTCAAGGTAAACTAGATCAATATTTACCTCAATCTATATTCAGTATTGATACATATGGTTCATTAACTATTTCTCAATGGAAAATTATAACAAATAATAAAGATACAGTTCTCAATGAACCTACATTGTGCGATGAAACATTAGAAATTGGAACAAACATTTTTAAAGAGGTGAGTTTCCTTATATATATATGTATATAAATATATATTTATGACAAGTAACGATTATTTTGGGTATGGTCAACTTCTACAACATTTTTTATTTCATCCATACATCAAATGATATATACATAAAATCAACTCTTGTTGAATGGTGGGAAGTATAAGTGGTCTCAGTAATACCTATGATCGCTCAATAAAGGGAACAAAATGTTATCATATACTGTATTGATTTAATGTGAGCCTACTATGATTCTAAATTAAAAATTATGGTGGTTGAGGATGCTTCAAATTGCAGCATTTGTGCAGTTATTTCACAGAGATGGCCATACGCTACTCGTCCGGGATACTCAGAAGTATCAAACCTAATTACAGCCCTATCAAAAAAGGGAATTCTCCTAAATATTCTTCATTTATCAAGTTTCACGAAATGTTCCATAGTAGACATCTGACATAACTTATAGACCACAAACCATTAGTGACGATCTCTGGATCGGTGAGACGATAACTTAGGAATAAGCCAATCAGGTTTAAGATACCGTATCTTAAATTTTGACGAGGAATTCACTCATCCATATGGCTAAATAACATTTCAACATTATAGCTAATGTCGTTTCGTGATGAAAATCCTAACTTCTAACTCTGAATCCCGATTCCGTTTTCTTAAACTAATTTATAATCGTTTTTTGACCCTATTAGGTAGGTGGAGTTTATTAACTTTACTTGGCTTCGCTCTCCTAAAGATAAACTATAACCGTCACTCACTCTCTCCCTCTCTCTCTTCATATATATATATATATATATACAACTAAAGAGTTAGTCTCTCTAGGGTATTCACTACTTTGTGTATGATAAGAAGATTCAATATTGAATTGGTATTTATCATATTTCTAAGTAAAACAATATAACGTTAGTTGTGTTAAACAATGTTTTTTTTTAAATCATCAAATTACATTTACAAATTGATAATAAGAATTTAATTGGAAATTAAAACTGAAAATTTGACAAATAAGCAAACATGAATTAAGTAGAGTTTGATATATAAATTAAATAGGAGTAAAATTGTAGAAATCTGATGTTGTTCTATATTAATCAGTCTCTCTGACTATAACATTCCTATAATTAATTAATTTTAAACAAATCATATATACATGTTTGTAATAATTATGCCTACAATCGTAGACTTTCTAAAAATATTCATAGTTTTTAAATATTGTTGTAATTAGTTAGTCGTTGATTTGATACTTATTTACTATAACAAGCAACGTTAAGTAATAAATGTAAGAAATTTAAGGCCAGTTAATTCAAAAATCTCAGAGATAATTTTGTGTTTATTATCAGCTATCACCAACCCTGGTATAGATTGACAGTTAATATGTTCGGTTAAGTGGAAGACGAGTGCAACCAAACCAAAACATGACTTCAGTTCATGAAAACTGTTGGACTGTGTCGTATGATTAGTGTAGTTGTTATATCAGGCTGATAAGCATTGAGCAGATAAACACAGTAGAAAGGATCCCTTTCTGCATAAATAATTTATTTGTCATATATTAAGGGATATTTCCTTAATCGACATTCATGGCTCACGGTGAACGCTAAATCTTCAAATCGTTTTCATCCATTAGTCCATATTTTGAAATTCCATTAACTCATAATCTATACCAGCTCTCATACACCTTCGACTTCTTTACTCTCGATATGGGTGAGGTTCCTATGTTTAGACTACCAACTAGAACTTCAGGAGCTTATCTCTGAGTAAATCAGTAGTGAACATAAAATTATATTTTGGATGGAAGAGTTTTGTGGAGATCCGTATAATCTTTAAAAGACCAGTGAGTGTTTACTGCTGAAAGGTCTCATAGTATCATGAAATCGATATTCAGTCTTCCTCCCAAGTTAGACGTTGGCAATTACTACTAGTAAATTAAATGACTTTTCACAATCTTTCTGCACTCAGTATTCTCTGTATATTCAATATTTTTTTTTTGAAAAAAGTGATATTAGTCACATACTTACATCAAATTAGTGAATAATTTTAAAGTCATTGAATAATACATAATATTTCCGTTGTTCTATTGTTCATTTTTGTTTCTAAAACATTAAAATAAAATTCTACTCAGATATCACGTAAAGGAAAACATGGAGATTTTAAATATTGTACATATATTCACGACAACTTTCGTTCACAACCCAATGGTGAATTAAAATTAAATAAAACAAACTCAAATATTGATAATTCACAAATCTATTCATTCAATGATATAAATCCATGTGAATTTAGTTTTATTACTGCAGCTTATGAATGTACAAGAAGAAAAATTCTACGTTTAACAAATTGGATTTGTAAAAGTAAAGGTTTACGTAATACTGTATCATATAATAAAATTTTATCAAATGATCCTAATTCTAATTTAATTGATATGACAGTTGTTGAAAGTGGATGTTCTGGTAGTTTATGTATGTGTTTTACAAATGAAATATTTTGGCTTAGTTTACATGTAAGTATTGATATTGTTTTGTTTATTATTATTAATTATTATTGTTATTATCTATTTCACATAGCATCTATGAATCAAAACTGTATTTATGTGTTGTGGTTAAGATTTGTTTTCTGACAGTTTATTATATCTTAACTAGTGATGAATCAGTTTTAAATGATATCAAACTACAGATAAATATTTATCTTTCGATATTTCTTTAATGTTATTTAGTTCCTTCCACAATTAATATTAGTTTGTAGCAAACATTATAGTTTATTTAATCTAACTCATTATAAAAAGTTTCATGAATAACATCTACAAATATTCGCAAACTTCTATCAAGAGGATGCAAACAGTGAATTTCAATCATGTTGGTAGTAAGACGAATATCATTAATGCAAATTAATCATGTCTGTGTAATATTGCAAATTGGCAAAAATTAAATTTGTAAACTATTGAATACTAACTCTATGGTTCAAAGATATCATCCTTACTACTATTCTAAAAAATGGACTAAACATAATAGAACTAACAGGAGTATCATTCTCTAACATGTTTTTGGGAGAAAGTGGTTTGAAACTGAAACTAAGAGCTTTCTTAATCTCTTCATATTTCTTTAATGAAACAAGTTATTTGGCTTACTTAAAAACCAAGTACACTACAGATCCAAAATGCTAGAACCATTTTTTTTGCTAACTAGTAGGAATAGTTCTATTTTATGAACTACGATCATCTTTAAACGTTCCCACAACCTTTTAACCAGATATATCTTTTCGCCATGATGACAACAACAATTTGTATTACTGATTTTCCTATTATCGAAATTATGTATTGTCGTATAGATATTTCAAATCTAATGTAATAATAGTTTACTACAGTGAAACCCCAATAAAGCATTCGATTTACTTGAGTTTTCTATCTATACAACCCTAAGAATAAATGACTTATGTCATTTAATTAATGTATCTAGAAATACATCACCTTGTTTTGCTAATATAGCGCAATGTTTCATAACATTATCTAAGCTATCGTGTAATAGTTCAAGGACACAGTACATCGTTTAACATAAAGATTTATTGAGTCAAAAGTTTCCCTTTTAGTAATATCAATGTTGTAAAAAGACTACAAAACGTTTCCAAATAATACTGTAGCTAACGAGGAAATCAGATGGGGAAGACCGGTTTTTTGCTTAATGCAAACTTACAGTGTCTTAACAAAATACGAAAGTCATATATCCAATACATCACTTGCACATCTTCTATCAGTTCTCTCTTACAAACTTCATCGTTTTTTTATACCTGTTGTTATTGTAAATACTTTCTGTTTATATTCCTGTTCTCTTCTCAAACTTCTGCCCTCAAGCATTCATTTTCTCATTGGTGCCACATACTACTTATATTTGTCAGCATAATTAACATACATCACAATGCTTTTAAATTAACCATGGTTTTAAACTAACTGAATGACTTCTATAATAATCAACAATTGGAAAACATTTATATTCTCATCGCCATAACTCCTTAATATATACCAATAGAATTAATCGACAAAGTTTGTTTGATTAAGATACTTCTGTAAATTATCAATGTAAAACAGTAACCTACCATATCTCTCCTATATGTCAACATTATATATGCAATTCCAAGTTCAATGTAATTTTATTCAACATTAACATGTACAAACGAAGTAATAAAATAGATTGAAAAATTCAAATTGTCTGTTGTATAGTTTTTTTTGGCTTCCTCGTGAATTAAACAACAAATGCACATATTTCTATTGAACTCTCTATATATTAAAAATGTACTATTCCGATTGTTTTTCTAAGAAAAATCATCTAATTTTTTATTTTCATTACTGTTTCACTTAGAAAATATTGATTTGCTCTTAGAAATTTCTATCATAATAAAAAACTGATCTTTTTATTTTCATGTAAGCAAACAAATTTTTTTTACCTAAATGTATAGAAATCTTCACTGGATGTTGTTTACTTGTATCTTCTCATTTCACAAGCAAGTGGCTATCAGAACTTAGTAGCTAAATGGATAACGCAATTGAGTTTGAAGCGAATGGTACTGGGTTCGAATCCCAGAGTTGACGTGAACTCTGAGATGCAGGTATATCCAGCTGACGAGTCCCAGGTAGGACAAAACGCGCGTCCTGGATTCCACTGCTAGCCACTATCTATCTTTGCTTGCGATAGATATTATTGATTTCCTACTTATGTTCCATCATCATGAGCATCTAATTATGAAACAATACAAAGACGCAAGGATTCAACGTTTAAAGGTGGTAACACACTCAAATTCCATCTCATTTACTTCAGTTGAACCAACTAGGCACATTGTAATCACATTTCTGATATCGAAAAATTTAGTTAAACGTTTATCAAATGTATTATTATATGGTTACCAAATAATATTTACTTATGATATGGATTAAAGAAAGCAATATGTTTTTAGTCTTAATTTAAGGTTAAAATTAGTTTTGTAATAATAGGACGTTTATTCAATCTCAGAATATGTCAGACATGCATATTATCTCAATAATTAAGATCATGAATCAATTAAAGCTAGGCCTTCATGGAAAACCTGAAAGTACTGGAATGGCCGTGTTTCGATTGCTCATGACTCATGATCTCAACTATTGAAATAACTATAATATCCACAAAAACCTCTTCTGATATATATTATCATTTATAATTATTTTTTTGTTTAATTCCCCATTTGCATCATTTCAAATCAAATAATTTAAAGACATTTGATATATTATCCAAATTTAAATTACCTACATTTATGCAACCAATTAATTGTTTATCAAAATCATGGCCACAACCAGCTGATTTAAATCAATCTCAGCATAGACGTACATGGATATCTGTAAATAAAAATCGTTTATTAGAAATTTCTCCATTTGAAAGTCAACGTCGATTAGATACAAAAGGTAGAAGTTGTCTATTAGTTTGCCCTGTACTATCAACTGATTCACAGATTACAACTGTTTCATCGGGTTTAGGTATTACACCCATTGTAAGTAAAACAATTTTATTTCTTTGTATATATATAATAGCATTATTATAATATTGGATAACTGCTTTGAATAATTGTCTTTGATTTTATTTCTCTTCCATTTTTTACACCAAAATGTTGAATATTCCATACTGTGTCGTCTTATCAACCTCATTTCCCCCCAAAGCATGACATTATGTACAATATATTATTTTATTAAATATTGAAGTAACTGATATACAATCAACATACAAATTAGGTATCTAGGCAGATTATCTCCATATTCATCATTGAAAAGAACTGACCAATAAATGCTTATTTACTTAAGTAGTAATTTCAACATGCATGTGAGAAATCAATTAAAATAACTTCGTAAAGAAATAAATTCTGTTAAAGACGTTTTGTACCATGAAAGTAAAATTTGAATATATATTTATCATCCATCTCTTAATGTAATTTATAATTTTATTGATTGCGGACATTTAACGTTGGAACTAAATATTATGAGTGATGATTGAACGTTGGTTTTATCCTCATCCAACATCGATAGACTATCTCAATCTTACTTCCTTAATAAATAAAATAACTTATCATTACTTATTTGATCATTTAAACATCAACAAAATGAGGTTGAACCATTTTTTAAGAAAAAGATGACTGATAATTCTTTGCTTATTTCAACCAATTTAACTGAGTTTGAAATGTGAGACTAGACCTTACTAAGTAGCATTTATAATGAAATGTAATTAATTGCAATTCTTATCATTTCACGACAATTGAAATGAAAACTCTATTATTGAAATGAACTCAAAATTCATTTAACGATTGTACATCTTAACTCAGTCAAAAAGAAGTTTAGAACTGGTTCATTATATGTATCCACTCAAATTCTTATTGACCTTGAGTCTTCATCAAGTCAACTGATCAAATCTATATATTTTGTAGTGTTGTTTGCATATAAATATTCATAATTTTTGGAACAATTATCAACAAGATATGTTTATTGTTCATGCTATCGAATGAAAAAAACTGATCAAAGACAAATGCATCCCTGAAGGAAATGAAATATCTAAACTAACTTTTTCTTCGCATACATAAATCTAGCATAACTGCATTTATGGTCACTTTTAACTACATGAGAAATACAGTGATTAACACAAAAGGCTAAAGCGTTTGTCTACAGTTTTTTCCGCTTTTATGCACACAAAATGTTGAAGGACAATGTTTTTCGGAGTCTTTGCAAAAGATTCTAATTGTTTGTCAAAAACTACTGGCTTAATACAGTAGATAATCCCGATAATTTGGATAAACGTGAAATTCCATGACATTATATTCAGTGACAGGCAACACTTCCTTGTGAAGTTTGCTTCTTAAATGGGAAGAGAAATTGGTTGTTAGTAATCATTACACACATTTATTCAGTGATCTCTATTGTATGACAATAATAGTAATTTACTCATCAAAAATCTAACCTTAATATCGTTGCCATATCACATGTGTGATTGATTTTTAATCCGCTTTTTTCCTGGAAAATCAGTTGATAGACGCGATAAATTTTAGTTCTTATGATGAAATTCCACCGGTACATGTAATTTCATGTATGATTGTGAAAACTTCACCCAACAATGTCATGGTAGCCAATCATTTATTATCATAATTCAACGTTTCTCAAATCAAGCAAACTAAAAGTAATAATCGATAGGTTTAGAAACATATATCCTCAACGACTTAATCACACCTTCATGTGCTAGTGAATACAAATCTAATTTATGTTATGTTAAGCTTTTGTTGAAAATAAGAGTAACTCAACTGACGTTTCAATAACACTGCATATAGACCCCTATGATTTAAAAACCCACGTCCACTAAGCACAAATATCAGTGTTATGTATAAGTTAACCATGTTCTAGAACGCTGACCATATTCTTTTATTTTCACCAACCAACGTTTATTCCCCTACATTTTAGTTAGTATACGTATTCCATAACGTTTGAATAACTAATTTCCCCGATCATATCCTTGATTAAGAGATCCTATTCATTATATCACAGATAATATTGAGGGGGGGGGTGACTGAAAACAAACGCATTTCATTCTAGGACATTATCTTCCAACACAAACCAATTGTACATTTTAAAATCAAGTGCTTATACTGAAAGATTTAATCAAATTAAATTATAAACTTCTAAATTTACGATTGCTACTTTTAGTGAAAATCACTATTACGATCCACTGTTATAACAAAAATTGTATGACACATAGTTTGATGGTATGATACATCTGACATTGTTTGTTACTTTAGATTGCAACAGCGTTAGAAAATGGTGAAATTCATATAACACATATCCCTGAATCTTGTTTTAGTTGTATGGTAAGTCTCAGTTATTTGAAAAAATGTATTGTTTTATGGTGATACTGTATACCTTTCCATTTGTTTCACTCAAACATTATTGAGTACGCTGTTTTAGGATAGAATAAGTTTCAAACAAAGATCATCAGTTATGAGTTGAACAGATAAAAAACTGCATGATATTTACAAGCTGAATAGGATTGATTCATATCGATCCACTTAAGCCTACAGAGTACGATTGTGACATGAAATGTAGATCCTGAATCCGTTTACTCCCCCTCTTTTTCAGTCTATTCTAATTGTACAGTTACTTGAATAAATGTATATTGAAGAGTTGTGGGTTACACAAAATCCTGATCTGTGTTAAAGATGCTACCGATTAATGTTAAAAAATATTTCATTTATAAAAGAACTAGTCTATTGATCAGAGCAACAAATACGTTCAATACCTCCACAGTGAAGAAACGGAAATATTCTTTTATGTGTTTCTTGTCAGTAAGCAATGTAGTTTATTCGTCGATGAAAAAATCATAGCTTCGTTTAATAAATTTGTACACCGATTGGGCACAGGCCTCTGATTATGAATTTCTGCCAATTACTTAATTTTCTTTTAGGATTGTGTGTGATTTACTAGTTGACATCATTTTGAATAAAGACTTGTTGTATAAGACCCTTAAACTATTGCACAATATCTTGCAGTGAATCTAATCACAGCGTTAATATTGAAACATATGTACACGAAACTTATACCACGATATGCGTTAGTTAGTTTGTCCCTGCCAGTGTATCATAAGAAAGTAGAAGTTCTTATGAGGTGCACACTCAAATCAATCATGATTTTCCGCCACTCAAACAATATCACTCTTTTCTTAATTATTCTGCTAATAAAACCAGCTATTTAATTTATGTACTTTTTAACTACTTATATCAATCAGTAGTATAATTCAAGATATACTTAAACACTTTTAGTCTCTGTAGGACCTTCCGCTTATATTATGGAAAAACAAGCCAATTTTAAAAACTAATTACCATGTTATTCACAGAAATTCGGCGTGAAAATTGCAACAAAACGACAAGCAAAAATTATGCATTGTAAGATTTATCGAGTCATTCTCCACATTCATGAGTGTGTGACACAACTTGTCACATTTCAAAAAGAACGTGATATCTTTGTTTAGCATAAGCTGATTTTCTTTTATGTCAGTCGGATATTAAATTCACAATAAAATTAAAATGTATCGTAGTTGTAATGAAAGTATGAAATTAGTTGAAAGTATTACTTTTCTTCATAGACCTACATCATATTACAAATATGATACATAGATCACAAATTTTTAATTCAAATTTTCTTATTCCATTAGGTTGAATTTTGTTCTCTTGGTTTTATCAATAAAAATGAATTAGTGAATCATGTTGTACAAGATCATTATTTAGGCGAATCAACCGATGAATTTCGATGTAATTGGTCTTCATGTGATCTATATCTTCCGTTGAATTGTTCACAATTTAATAAAGAGGTATGATTGTTTATGTATATTTTGAATAAACCAATAAGTTTTTTTTAAAATCTTAAAACAAATAGATAGATGTGTTAATTTTGAGAATTTAAGAACTTCTAAAGTGTAAATATTCAGGTTATAGTTAGCTTTATATTATAGAAAAATATCAACATTTCAAGGTGATTTATATCACAACTCATTATCAACCGATTAAATATTTACGAAGGCTGGTTGTGAGTACACCAGTTTTAGTGTGTAGTATTTACATTTCTTTACGAAATATAAAAATTATAGTTTCAGTAGTAAAATATAATTTTAGTTATCCTTATGAATTATCTTGGAAACTGACATTTTTTTAGAAAAAATAAGCCTATAATACTCAAATAAATGTAAACAAACATTCTCACTAATTTTTATCCTTCTCCTTAAATATTTCTGTTAATTTTTTCAGAGGAAATAGGATAATCATAGTTAGAAAACAAATGACTTGCAATATTGTTTCTGTTCAATCTTATGATTGGTTTATATTACTTCTAATCAGAAAAGATGGTAGTTCGAGAAACTGACTAATTTATATTGAAAACTTTGTTATCATGTCATAGTTTTAAAAAAAAAGTAGCTACATTTTGATAACTATTCAGATAGTGCATACAATTATAGTTTTAATATCTACAAAATCTCATTGAAATCATAAACTGATCAATGTTGAACTATTATTAAAAACCTGAAAGCAGTAAATGGTGGTCTAACCTTGATCTGCTCATGATTTCAGTAAAACTCAACAATCGCCACAACCCTATACTAATAATATACAAAATCTCGAGATTAATTGTGAATAATCAATAAATCAAGGTGATCTCGTGTGCTGTTAGATGTATAAGATGGAGTTATAGCTATTTGATTGCACACACTGTAGAAAGATGCCTGCTCATGAAACTGGATAAGTAGTGGTCCTGACGATCTTAGCGCGTGATTTTAGGAAGAAAAGGATGGCTTCTTGAGGTCAGTCACACATAGCATTTCAGTGATTAGTTTCATGCGTTTTAGCCCTGTACTTATCACTGGAGACAGAAATCCATAGGGCAGAGTGAATTCACAATTGATTGATCACTGGGTGGTGATCAATGTCATGCTTGTGTTGTCCTTATTAGTGCAGATCGAATGCTATTGATCATGTTGCAATGTGGCCACCAGTCTAGGTGACTCAACACTGCGGGCACTATGTATTGAGATTTAGATGGTGGTTGGAGGTAGTCAACAGGAAACCCTGGACCCGTTTTTAGGCTACTTGGCACTCGTCAGCAAGGTGCACCTGTAATCTTGAGGGAACTGGTGCTCCCTGGCGGATTTGATCTCGTGTCACCCAGCTTCACAGTCAGAGACGTTACCACTGAGCTATCCGAGCCGTGACTAACCTCCTGTAGGACTGAGATGTAATCACAATTGATTGATCACTGGGTGGTGATCAATGTCATGCTTGTCTAGTCTAGTGTTCTATTCTTAGAGCTGACCTTTTCTAATTTTCAATCTGTTGTGAAAAGATATCATCCTCTAAGAGCAACAGCTTACTGCCATCACAGTCCTATAAAATCAAGTAGAATCACTTTGTTCTCAGACCTTAAGTTTCTGCTTGAGTTCTTATCGTTTTAAAACCAACGTGCTTTGTATGGCAAATCCTCAAGAACCAAGTTTTTCATCCAATATAGTTCGACTGAGCAATCGTGATAAATAAACCTGACCACCTTTGCAATAGAATAGCTGTTTTGAAGTTATTCAATGCTGAACAATATCGGTAATTAGACCGATCAACATGACGTTTTCTTCATTATTATACAATCTTTAGTTGCTGTTGTTTTTTTTGAAATTTCACTCATCACCTAATTACTAGGTAATTTTTTTCCTTAATCCCATTTTATTGCTTTTTTCCTTTCGCAAATTTAGATATTAGAAGATCATGCTCATCAACATGTATATTCATAAGAAAAATCTAATTTTTCTTTATTTAATTATCATTTTAGTAAAAATTTAATAAATGTATTATTTATTGTTTATTATTATTATTATTATTATTAATTTATTATTCACTTCCTGTTTGTTTATTTGTTTACAAAATTAATACATAACATTTAAACAAATCCCATTTAAAACTACCTAAGATTTCGTCCGCATTTTCATCATATATTTATGCATATATATATATATATATATATATATATATATATATATATATATATATATATATATATATACATTTGTCTGGATGAATTGAAAGCATTCTAAACAAATTTTTATTTGCTGAAAGATCAATATTCAATTGTTTATTATTCTATGCTTCTCTTTCAACAGTAATTTGTTTTTCTTACAGTATCAACCAATTAACACATTATCATATTGTTTTAATAAGGATAATAAGAAATTGTTTTACCTACATAGATATTAATCACTTGTTAAATGTAATAAGGAATCAACCTCATAACTTTGTTTATTTTTTAAAGAACTTATTGTTGTTGTTGATAAATTCATGTTTATCAAAAAAAAAGAAGAATATTTGAGTGAACAATTGTTTTCAATAGCTTCATCATCAGGCTCTACTGTTATAAGTCCATAATTATAATATTTTATGAAGGCCAAAATAAGGCAATGCATTAATGAGTTTGACAATGTTATGTGTTAAAAATAGTGAATGTTTGCATCTGTTACGAATGTTTATTAGTTAACAATCCCAATATGAGTATTTAAATAAAAAGAAATTTATCACTAACTATTAAATTCTGCATTATTTCTACCCATTTACAAGGTGTCATATTTTTTATATAATTACTAGAAGATATGTTGAATGTTTTAATGAAATCATTTTAATATGAATAATACTTGGTTTGTAAGCAGTCTACAAGGGTTCCTAAGTTTTCGTTTGTTTGTTTGTTTTATAATGTTGATCATTGGAATTGTAGATGAGCGTTAATAACTGATCAATTGAAATCATACAACCATTTTTTTTACTAATATCTTCTCGAAAACTTGAACCCAGTACTGATTATTTCAAATGTTTTAATGTAGAACCACTCAATTACCAAAATCATGAAGGTTTTTTTTGGTTTCATTTTGTAATTTCTCTATAACTAACGTAACTGTGTTAGTTGATCTCTTTTATCTTCAATAAACTTTATCTTTGCCGACTGAATTAATTGAAATACACAAGCCATGAAAAAAATTACACTTCAGATACGGCTTGAAAATAATCACGATTAATTAATGTTTATTGTATATTTGTATTATGGTTGATTTTTTTAAATTTCTCCCCACCCCATAGTTCAAAGACGCCGCGACTTCAGAAGAAGCATCATTATGTAAGATATTATGGATATCTGATAATTAAGGCGTGTAATATCACCGCCACCCACAAATGTTTAGTTAATCATTAAGCCGACACTTTATTAAACAATAATGAGTAGATACGTTATGCCATCGAGTCAAGTAAAACGCTTCCTAGAAAACGTAGGTATTTTCTAATCGTGTCAGTTAAAAACGAGATGCTGGATAGGGAATTCACAAATTCAGAAAAGAAAAGAAATTTAGCACGAAATAACGTGACGTACTGATTGATTAACTCCCATTAATATATGCACTAGTAACAGCTCAAACGATGAATAAATGGATTCCATATTTTCAGTTTACCTACTAGAAGTTAATTTAATAAAAAAAGGAATAGAATTTCAATCTTGACCATATCCACTTTTGATCTAACAGTAGTATTACTCAGTATTTTGGAAATGTCTTAATTAGCTTATTATAAAACAAGTTAATTCAAACACTTTGACAGTATGTGATATGTCAGCTATTCTTCCAGGTCTTATATGCAAACAAGTTTGTTGTAATGTGGTTACTTCTCAAAAGTGTTAGTTAGCAGAGCTCATATTCATTGATTGAATAATTCTTATATCTAGTCTTTGTTGTAGTTGGACTAGTCAGTATGACATACTCAAATATTTAGTGGAATATTGCTCCCCGTAGGATTCAAATCTGTATCACTCAGTTTTACCATAACCAAACTATTTTGACAGGAATAAACATTTTGTATCTTCACGTCCTAACATAAACACCAAGTTAAAGGCTTCCTCCTGATTACCTACAATGGCTAGACACAAACCACAGTGTACTGCAAAATCCAGTTACTTAAACTAAGGAATATATTGTAACTGAATCGATAGATTATAACTGAGAACACTGGTTACGACTCACTGAATAGTAAACGCAACAAAGCTTATGTTAAGCTAAAGTTTTAGGTATTGAAAAGAATAGTGAACAGCAGCAAATGCTAAACAATGGGGATATTCTGTCTCCAAGTTTATGTTACTTAAAATTAAATTACGATAAAGAAATATTTTTTTTGAAATTGCTTAGGAAACACATTATCCATCCAGAACTATACTGAATGGCTGATTTTAAAAATGTCCTGTACTACTAATCTGTTAACACCATGTTTAAGAAGTATTAGAACACAAAGTTGGTTCTGTTAACTAATTCATTTCTACATCTTTTTGGACAAAATGTACACAATATTACATGCCTAATCTCTGCCACTGTACTTTCCTCCTAGTGTTATAAATTATTTTCGATTTTTTTCAAATATTGCGTAACTAGAACAGCATACTGAATACTAATAAACAAGTGCTTTCTAACAAAATACTTTGAATAATAGTCTTCTTTCGAAATGTATTTATGTATGAAGCAATTTAACCAACTGTTTATGTTTATATTACATATAACGTGCAGTTTTCTATTCAGTGAATGTTCTCGTGCACAGGTTTATGCTCATCATATTTCAATTCATCTGGAAAATTTATGTACAAGATAAAGTACAATTAAGTTCATAAGTGAAACAAATATTTAAATAAAACGTTTACACGTTTAATTAAAAGCCTTGAATAATACAACAGTATGAGGATCAAGACCAGCATAAAAATACTAACTAGAAGATTGTTACTGTTCAATCTTACACACGGGAATAGTTTAACTTTGACCTAAACAAAACAAAACTGACAGGCTGTTTTGGGTAAAACCTCAGATTATATCGTAAATCCTTGCATATCCTATTTGATAATCTGCATGAATTAACACATTTTTTGTACATATTAGGTTTAGTAAATATTATTTATATGATATTCGCTCAGGTCGTGAAAAACAACAGTCCTTTAATGATGAAGGGCCGTTCATTTATCATTATCCAATTATTATACAACTTTTACAAGCAAGTTAATAGATAGTGAAACGGTTCATAGAAGAATAAAATCATTAATGAACAAATATCAGAGGATTTTGTCCATTAGTTCTGAAAACAATCCGTTTTATTTAATATTAGGATGAAGAATGAAGTAGGTTAGCCGTGTAACCAATGCTTCATCATATGGAGTGGGAACATTCAAGATGATTAGACAATTATCGATATGTGGGAAACAGTTCATCAGCCACATGAAAACCATACATTATCATAACAAATTCTGATGAAAGACGGAGAATAGCTTAGCTTGTCTTACAGCTATTTATATTGTCAGGTTTTTTAACAAGGTTCATAAACAACGAATTAACATACAACTTCAATTTGGATAGATTAACGGACGATGTAATAGTTCTGTAGGAAGTTCCTCGGAATCTATAAAATAAACGCTTGAATAAGGAGTCGAAAAACCGATTTCCATGTCTAACAACAAATACTTTAAACGCAGCAGAACGTCACATTAAAGGTTTATTTGGTTTTCAATGTGTTACTGTTATAACTAATTGTAAGTCGCTAACGTTTGTTAACTAATATAGTATCTAAAATACTAGCCTCGATAATTATCAGACGCCTAACTAAGACTCGTGAACTGCAAACACGAGAGAATCAAGCTGGCTTCAGAACTGGTCGTAGCTGCATCGACCACATATTCACCACTCGTCAGGTTCTAGAACATAGACATACCGGCGTCCGTCAATGTTGGTCTTTCTTGACTTAAAAGCAGCATTTGACTCTGTAGACCGTGAGATTCTGTGGCAGTGTCTGTCATTGAAAGGCGAACCTCAGAAGTACATAAACCTTGTGAAGGCTCTTTACTCGAGCACTACCAATCGAGTCAGAGCTTATGGCGAACTGTCATCTGCTTTTGCAACCTCAAGTGGTGTCCGTCAAGACTGTCCACTTTCCCCATTTTTGTTTAACTTCATCATAGATCTACTGATGGAAATAACACTCTCGTCGACTGAGTTCTCGGGTATTGATCTCCTTCCAGGAGGTCCACTTATCGACTTAAAATACGCAGATGACATAGTCCTGTTTGGTGAAGACGCCGATAAAATGCAGAGTCTTTTGGTAGCACTGAGCAACAATGCCAGAATGTTTGGAATGCGCTTCTCTCCCTCTAAATGCAAGTTGTTGCTTCAGGACTGGTCTGCGTCAACACCTGAACTAAGGATAGGGAGTGAAGTAGTCGAACGCGTTGACAACTTCACTTATCTTGGAAGTCTGATCAGCCCTAATGGGTTGGTGTCTGATGAAATCTCAGCACGGATTCGAAAAGCTCGTTTGGCTTTTGCCAACTTGCGTTACCTTTGGCGAAGGCGAGATATCCGTCTATCAATAAAGGGACGGGTATACTGCGCGGCAGTCCGTTCCGTCTTAATTTACAGCCGCGAAACATGGCCATCAAGAGTAGAAGACACTCGTAAGCTGTTAGTATTTGACCACAGATGCCTTAGAAATATTGCTGGCGTCTGTTGGGATCACCGGGTAAGTAATAGTGAGGTTCGACGTAGGGTAATAGGGAATGATGGTAAATCAGTTGATGGGGTTGTAAATCTTCATCGACTGAGATGGCTGGGCCACGTGTTGCGTATGCCTGAACACCGATTACAACGACGCGAAATGCTGACTAATGTCGGGATGGTTAGAAGAGAGTCAGGGGCGGCCAAACCAAAACGTGGCATCAGTGCTTGAAGTCACTAAC